TCCGGTGGCTGCACTTGGCTGGAGGCCCTGTCCTCAGATGTGTTCTTCAAGCTGTGCCCGCCCCTGGCGAGGGCCAGAGCCTGCCACCTGGGGATGCAGGGAGGTCTGTGGGAATGCCTGGTGCACAGGCGGAGACGGGGGAGGAAAGTGGGCAGCCGGGGCAGGGGGGCCGGGCTCAGGGGGTGCCACACCGGGGAGGAGCCCTGAGGACGCCCGTCAGCTGAGTCCTGCTCTCTGGCCACTGGGAGGATGCTAGCTCACCAGTAACCAACGTTGTGGGCGTTTAGGGTCCCGCAGGTGGGGTCCCAGTCCCAACACTGCCGCTTGGGAGCGGGTGACGGAGCAAGTCCCCACATCCTCACCTATAACGTGGAGGCAAGAAGTTGCTGGTTCAGGTCAAGGTAACAGATATGAAAACGTTTGCTAAGAAACCTTGAGTGGTGACTGTCCCTAAGCATCCTACACACCCTGCTTCACTTCACCAACCAGTCACACATCCTTCACTTTTCTAGGGTGTACCGAGCCCCCACCCTCCATTCTCCAAGAGCTTGGCGGACGCGGCCTCCTGCAGTCCCGTCGTGGCCACACGGTGGCAGTGTTGGGGACCGGCGCCCAGACCCACACGGCCCGCGGGCCATCCCATCCACCCCACAGAGGGGCCCAGAACAGCCTTGGAACTCTGACTCCCTCACCCTGCTCCTGCCCTAGCAGGATGCAGCCTGGGTCCTGATTGAGTCAGGGGCACCCGCTGGACGCTGTCTCTCCCAGGGTGACCTTAAATAGACGTTTTCATGCCCTCCCTCCTACTGGGCTCATCTGGACCCTCCCTGGTCCACCCAGGGGTCTCCCCAACTCGGATCCAGGTGTGGGAGCCTCATCTTCCTCTGTCCCGAAGTCGTTGGGCTCCTTTTGCAATCCATCCTTCTCTCTCCTGGGAACCAGGACACAGGCTGTCTCTCCCCCAAGCCCTGAGCAGCCTGGAGAGTCAGCAGGAGCCACTCGGGGAGTTCTGACCCGGCTACCAGCAAGGGGAAGTAGTGAAATTGGTCTGACAGCGTGATTGCATTTGTGATCTACAACCCCACCTGCCGTCCAGAGGCTCTGTCCTCATCTGTGAAAATGGGGGGCGGGGGTCCTAGAGGCCCCACATTCCATCCTCCACAGAGCTGCAACCTCAACTCTGTGGGACACACCGCCCCCCTCCATTTTCACAGTGGAGGACACAAGACTTAGCAGGGCAGGTGACACACCAGGGTCACACTGCTGGTGGCAGAGCAGGGACTCCAGCCCAATTCTCCTAAATGGGAGTCTTGCTCTGATCCAGGGCTGGGGAGACAGGGTAGCCCACGTTCCTCTAGGGTGGGGCCCTCCCCCTCTACACAGCCACAAGGGAGAGGGCAGCCCCTGCAGGTTTCACGTACACAGCCCCGCTAGGCAGGGCCCACGGGTGGCGCCTGCCACAGGGGCTGTGACCCCATTGAGGTCTTTAGTGCTGGCTGAGCTGAAGGGGAGGGCGCTGGGGGCAGGAGGGAGGGGCATGGCCCAGCTCCACTGAGTCTGGGGTCTTCTGGGAAACTGATGTCCAGCACTGGTGTCCCCTCTGACATCCAGCACTGGTGTCCCCTCTGACGGACTGAGGCTGCCGTGGGGGGACCTTCCAGAAGTCTCCTCGTGCACTGCCCGGTCACAGGAAGGAGACCAGCCCGGACCTGCGGGGCCACAGGTGGCGGACACGAAGGTCTCGGGGTGGGGGCGGCAGAACCCCTCCGGGCCAGACTCGAGCCGGCGGAAGTGGCGCGCGGAGGGGTCCCAGACCCTCGCGCCGGCCTAACTACACGCCGTGGACGGAGCCCCTCCTCCCAGCTCCCCTCCCTCCCCTCCGGTGGTGTCCGCGAGGCGGGGCGGGGCTGCCCTCACACCCCGCCAGCCCCGCCCCCTGCGCCCCCAGCCCCGGGGCCCCTCCGCACGCGTCCGCCCTCCGCCGCTCCCCTCCCCCGCACCCCCTCGGCTGGAGCTGGGCCGCGGCCCATCGCAGGCACCGGGCCACAGCTGGAACCCATTACGCCCCCAGCGCCTCTTGGGACGTCTCGGCTAATAAGTGACCCTCTGTAAATGTTAGGAATGAGTCAAGTTTATGCCGCTGCTGCTTTCCCGTTAGCGGGTGGCGCCGCGGATGCCCGGGGGAGCGGGAGGGAGGGCGGGGAGGGCCGAGGAGCAGAGTCCTTCCTGGAGCTCATGGCGCTGCGCGGGGCCTGGGGTGGTTCTCGGCACCCCGCTGGGCCTCAGTTTCTCCTGTGCAAATAAAGGGTTCAGGGCAGACAATGGCTGAGCCTCTTGCAGCCGCCATTCCTCCCATCAGGGCAGGAGAGGCCATTGGTGGTCTTCCTCACACCCCACCCCACACCCCACCCCCACCCCCATCCCCGGCAGGAGGCTGCTCACCAGCCACCTAAGACTGAAGGGGGTCACCTGTAGGAGTGTTGAGTGAAGGCGCCTCCTCAAGACCCCAGGGGACTCACATGCAAACACCCAGGAGAGAAGAAAGGCCCCCAGCCTGAAGGAGGGCAGAGTTCCCACTCCCTCCGCTCACCCTGGAGGGCAATGGGGTTCAGTCCATGGCATTTGCTCAATGACTGCCCATCACTGGGTTGCTACTGGGGATCAGAAAGGGACCTCATGAGGTGTCATGTAGGAGCCTGGGTCTTGGGGTGACGTTTAGCAGTCTGTCACTGGCCCAGAAGAGTGGTCATTATGTTCTGGGGCAGGGGTGGGAGGGGGTGTCCTGATGGAGGAGCAGGCCTTATGTCCAGGGAGCAGTAGAGGAGGATGTGTGAGAAAGAGGCTAAGCTGGGGTCTCAGGAGGAGGGAGCGGGCTGAGGGTGTGTGGGCACAGTGCGGTGCAGGGAGCAAGGGTGTTCCCAGGAAGTCCTCCAAGAGAGCTGGGAGGACATGGGAGGAGGGGGGTGACAGGCAAGTAGGAGGCTGTAGGTGGTCACTCACCAGGACTCGGAGGGAGATTTGGGGAGTCATAGGTTAGAGAGTGTGCTGGCCCTCTGAGGGGCTACAGGGGGAGGGCTTCTGGGAAGCCGGAGGAGGGGAGGGTCTGGGCGTGTGGCATTGAGTTTGGGGGGGGGGGGCGTGTAGCAAGAGGACTTCGCCACCCTGAAGAGTCATTGGAAGTGGACATCCATCTCTGGGGCCCCATGGGAAGTCTCCACCCACCCTTTTATTTTTAATTCACTGCTTTTAATCAGATATCCTGAGTGAGGTGGGACGGGTGGATGATGCGGGGTCGGTGAGCCAAGGAGTCGAAAGAAAGATTTCTTAGACTCTTAAGATCTGGCAGTAGTGCTCTTTTATTTAGAGAATAGTACAGAATAGCATGGGGACAGGACCCATGGGCAGTCAGAGCTTCTGCTGCTGCCATGGGGACACGACCCATGGGTAGTCAGAGCTGCTGCCGGCGTGTTGCTGCTGCTGCTTCTGCTGCAAACCTGGGTGGAGAGTAAGGCTAAATTTAAGGCATGGGTATGTGAGTTATCTCTTTACAAGACAACAAAAAAAGTTAAAATGGTACCAGTGCCGGTAGGGTCCGGCCATTGGGCGGTCCCACAACTTTTAGATAAGAATCAAACCAGATTGAGTAAATGGCAGAAGTCACCGCTTAAATATTATCCTCAGCTAAAGACAAAAGAGGATTTGGGGGTGGGGGGTCAGTTACATGAGGTTGCCAGACAGTAAACAACTTAAGTTCTTGCCTTCCCCATTAAGAGTTTCCAGAGATAAGGCCATCCCCCCATCCTCCTGGCGCAGAGAGGGAGGCATGGAGATTTCCTTCACAAATGCAACTGTCTCTGATCAAAGGGCAAACAAATTCCACTCCTCGGAGCCTGCTTCTCATCTGCAGTTTTAAAATTAACCAGCCTAAAATCCTCATCAGTGGGCAGCTGTGAACTGTCCTGCCCCCTGGTGACCTTGTCTCATCGTGCTGCCTCATGTCCAGAGGTTTCCTGCTGGTTTGGAATGGGCCGTCTCAGCCCCCAGCGTTCACAGACCCCTGAGCATCCTCCCCACAGTCAGCACCACAATTAGACCCAGTAAGAAAGCCCCTGCCGGGACCGGGGCCCTAGGGGGCACCCCCAGGCCCTCCCCTAGCTTTCTCCTCCTTGCAGAGCAGAGAATCCCCAGGGCCAAGGCAGAGAGCCAGCTCAGACCCCAAGATCCCAAGTCCAGTCTCTGCTACCCAGGACCCTGGAATTTCTTGCCCACTTCCAGGCCTGTTCGGACCCCTTCCATTGACAGGTTAGCTCCCTGGACCAGCCAGGAAGAAGGGCTATCCTCACTATCGTCCCCCTGCCCCTCCCTCGGTTCCTGCCCGCCCTCTCCCAGGGCCCACACATGCCCCTCCCGATGGACAGGGTGAAACCTGGCCCAGCTGGCCTGGGTCTAAAGGGAAGTGGGTGGGTTGAGCTTGGTGCTTCTACCTATGTCAGCCCCTCTCCTCACCGGGCTCTGTTCCCACTGGGTGGGGTTCAGGCCCCTCCCCCAGCCCCCACTGAGAAAACTGTGAGACGGCCTGCTCCAGGTGGGTGGGAGGTTAGGGACCCTGTGGACCAGAAGCAAGGGTGCCTGCCTCCCAGCATCTCCAGAGCGGTGGACCCGGATGGCTCAGCCCAGGCCCAGCAGAGGGGGAGCAGGGCTAAAGGGCAGGACGTGGTGCCCCCATCCGCTGGGTATTCTGGACAAGCTCTTCTCTACGTTTTCTCATCACTGCTCAGAGTAGGGCTGGGGACAGGCTGGGCACCACCCCACTTTACAGGTGGAGAAACCGAGGCATGTGCCTTGGGTGACCTCAGCCTCCCCTAGTCGTCTCCAGCGCACTTTGCCACCTTGGGGGAGCCCCATGAGAGCCCCCACCCACTGCAGTAGGCTCGTATGGGGGTGCCTCGCAGCTGTCCAGGGCCTGCCAGCCCAGGTGTCTCTGGGCGGGTGTTTTTCAGAAGCTGGAGGACACCATCCTGAGCCCCTCAGCCAGCAGAGAAAACCGGGCACTCACCATGCGTGGGGAAGGCCGGCAGGCCTCGCCCACCCCCGTACCTGCCCGCATCCGTGAGATCGTGGCCAGCAGCCTGGGCGAGGAGCCACCCCAAGGTGAAGGGGGGTGGGGGGTGGGCGGAGGACACCAGGGGAGCCGCAGAGCAGTCAACTGGAGTCCAGCTTCAGGGAGCCAAGCCCCCCTCACTGTCCCGGGGCCCAGCGGGTCGTCTTCCGTGTGATAGGGCACAGATCCACATCCTCCCACGGGCATTGTGTGTCAGTACCCACAGTACCCTGACCACCAGGCACAGGGACCGTCCCCAGCCAGAGCTGCGTTTGTGTTGGTGACACGTTTGTGACCGCCAGTCTTGATTTCATCTGCATTCGTTTTTTCATTAGATGAGGGAAAATCCTAGGCTTGACACACAGGAAGCTCAGCTGCTGAGCAGCGCTCCCCACAAGAACTTTGTCCTGGTTCCTCACCCAGCCCCAAGGCCCCTCGTGGTGCCCGCCTAGCTGTTACACTTTCAGGCCAGGGAACTGGCTCCAAGGCCGGGTTCCTGCATGGAGCCGACCGGCCAGTCAGGCCGCTTGGCCTCAGTGTGTGCTCGTGACTCCAAGCAAGTCCCACCCCCTTGTGCGTGGGTCCCGGGGACCCGGTTCTGTAATGAGGGTCTGTCCAGCCTCCTAAAGGAACCGGGTAGCTCACTGAGTGTGTATGAAGGAGAAAGAAGCCCCACTGCGTGTTTGGAAAGCTCCTTATTACTGGAAGACGAGTCCAGTTACCCTGAACCGGCAGTTCTCACTGCTCCACGGGGGGCTGGGGGACACCCAGGGTCCAGACCAGCCCCCACTCTCTGTGTTAATTGGTTTGGGGCTCAGCCTGGGCCTGGGTCTGTATTTGGGTTAAAGATCTTCATAGAAGACAAGGAGTTGGCAGGAAGCCATCGACAGGAGAGGGAGCGAGGCTCAGAGTGTGACGTCCACCTCCACATTGGGCTCTCCTGGGTCAGAGCTGGGATCCTCCCAGAAGATTGTTGCAGACCCAGCAGCAGGAGCCCAGAGACCAGTCCACGGTCCCACCATGGGGACAGGGTGTCATGGCCAAGGTGGGAGTCCCTAAGTCTGGCCACCCAGGTTGACCCCAGTGCTTCGCCTGCAGGGGTGCAGGAGCCGCCGGCCCCCCTGGCCCACGTGCAGGAGGAGAACGAGCTCCTGCAGGAGGAGCTGTCCCGACTGGAGGACCTGCTGGCCCAGGCGGGCGCTGAGCGGGACGAGCTGGCCAGCAGGCACCACGCGGTGAGCGAGCGGGTAAGTGTGTACAGTGGGCACTTGGCAGGCCACAGGGTGTCAGCCTGGTCTGGGGTGAGGCGGTCACCCATTGGGACTGGCAGACGCACCAATGGGACCATCAGTGAGTCCTAGGATGTGGAATGATGGTGCGTCAGCACATCCAAACCCTGGGCAACAGATGGGGAAACTGAGGCTGGAGGTGGGAAGGTCATGGTAGATGGGTGCCCAGGCCTCCCCATCCCTCACAGCCCCTCCAGGTCTCAGAGCCCAGCTTCGGCATTGACTTGTGTCCACCTGCTGGAAGCCCTGTGGGGGCAGCCGGGTCAGTCCTGACCCACGAGCCTCAGCGCCTGGCCCAGCATGAGCACGGTGCCAGAACTCAGCCAGCACCTGCCAAAGGAGGAGGCAGTGAGCCAGGAGGGAGGGACCCGGTCAGGGTGGTGCTGAGGAATTGGCCCCAAGTCGCAGCAGAGCCCATAGAGAAGTGGCTGTGTCCCCAACCCCCACTCCTTCCTGACAGCGAGACCTCCCAGACCAGAGGACAGCTATGACCTCGGACCCTGGGTCCTCCATCCTCAGTCCCCTGGGCAGCCGCGGTGCCTTCCAGGGTAACTGACAAGCTGCAGCAAGAGGCCTGTTTGGTGATAAAGCGTGGGACTCAGGAGGGCCTCTCATTGTATAGATGGGGAAACTGAGGCAGAAAGGTGAAGACACTTGCTAGACCAGAGCCTCTTTCTCGTGTCAGCCACTCCAAGGCATGCTAGCTTCTGAGGGAGGACTGGGGGGCGGGGGAGTGGGCGGCACACGGTGTGGAGTGCTCAGAGCCCCCTCTGGGTCTGGCTCAGCTCCCACCGCTCTGTCTTCAGAGACCCCCCTTGCTCAACATGGCAGGACAGATGACCCCACTTTCCACATGAGGCTCAGAAAGGGCCAGAGTTGTCCAGGGCCACACTGTCATTACTGGGGCTGAGACCTGAACCAGGTCTGGCCCTTCCTCCAGTGTGACCTGTGACCAATGCTAAACACCCAAGAGCCCCCAGCTGGCCTCATCTTCTCTAAGGTCCCGAGAGCTTCCAAGGATAGGTGGCACCCCACAGAGGTGCCCTCTGCCCTGACCCCCTCACTGTGAACGTCTCATCATCGCCCGCACCCCACATGAGCCCCTTGAGGCAGGTCGGCGAGATGAGGGTCTCCCTCATCCCGACTATGGGGGCTGGAGCACATCGGTGAGCTCGCCTGCCCTCCCTGGGCCTCTGTGGCCGCCGGCCTGGCTGTGGGGGTGGGGATCTTCCTAGCACAGGGTGGAGATGTTGGGAAGGGTCCCGGGGGAATAGAAGCCACAGAAATCCTGTGGAAGGATTAGTAAGCCTCGTGAGTCAGATCTGGACTTGAGGACCTGGCAGCTCAGTGCACGCGCCGGGCTCCTGCTGGCGTCTCAGCACCCCCTGTGCAGGTGCCAGAAGGGGCTGGGCCTCCCCTGGCCGCCAAGTCCCCCCGAGCTGCTAGGCAGGGTAGCCAGCGTGACTGCTTCGTGGGCATCTTCCATTCCGGGTAGCACTCCCAACCCCCACCCAAGCCCCCCGATCCAGCTGGGCCCTTCACCCCTCCTCTCTCATCCTGCTGGCAGCTGAGGAGGAGCCACTCACCTCCCCACACACACGGCCTGGTCATGCCACAGGTTGGCCTCCAGGCTCTCCTGACCTTCCCGCATCTCAACCCCCGACCAGCCTGCTCTCTGGGCCTGAGTCCTGCTCCCCAGACACCCCAGAGCCTGTGCTCTGGGTCAGCACATCTGGGCAGGGCCCCCCTCCCCCCGCTCCTTCTTTTCCCCTTGGAGCCCCAGGGTCTCCATCTGCTCAGGCTCCAGCAGGGAGCAGGAAGGACGCAGGCTTGGGGGGCAGACCTGGCCCAGCTTGGATGGCTCCCCTCCCTGCCAGGCCGGCTGAGGGGCTGCAGGCCCCGGGTCACTGTGGGTGTGGGCCCTGCCCCCCTGGGAGCACACAGGTATGAGCACGGGCAGGAGGAGCAGCGGGAGAGGGCGGCCCCCATGCTTGCTCACTCTCATGGGAGATGACCCCAGGCCTGCTCCACAACTCAGCCGTCCTGCCCTTGTGTGGCCCAGTCAGACCCCGGAGGCCCCCTCCTCAGCCAGCCGAGGGCACTGGACACAGGGGCAGGATGTGGATGGCCGCCTGTCTGACCCATCATGTGGAGGGGCCTGAGCTTCACCAGACCCAGCCTGACCACAGCCGGCCCCAGCCCCAGCTGGAGGCCCCAGGGGAGCCCTCTCTCCCGCCCCAGGAGGGCTTGGTGCCAAAGCTGCCCAGCCCGGCGGGCTCCGGAGCAGCCGGCCAGGTGGGCTAATGCTCCTCTCCAGCTGCAGGCCCGGCTGCAGACCACGGAGGCTCGGCTGCGGAGGTCGGAGCTGGAGCACAGCGTAGACCTGGAGGAGGCCCTCGGCCGTCTGGAAGCCGCCGAGCAGAGGTGAGGCCTGGCGGGCTCAGCAGTCAGGGCTGCAGGGAGCTCGGCCATCACCCCACGAGGCGGCAGACTCCACTGCACATTGGGGCTGTTGGCCATCCTCTTCCCAAAGTGACTCTAAGTTACATTTACCTGTAGGAATCTGGGGACAGGTTTTGTGCAGTAGGGGAAGGGGGCACGGGGCAGGGGGAGAGCGGTGCAGGTTCCACAGGCAGTGAGGGTCTCCCTGGCCTTGCTCTCCTTGATGTGCCCCCCCCCCCATGCCCAACACCTGCTGAGGCTGGTACCCTGGCCGGTCCTGCAGGTGAGTCGCCCGAGCTGACCACGGCCCTGGTGGCCCAGCCAGTTCTGGGGTGCCCGTGGGTGCCCTCCTCACTCCCACTCTTCTTCAGCCCCACCCTGACTCCCAGACCCCTTTGGCTTTGAGCCACTCTGATCTCATGGTCAGGGGCTCATTTGTTCGCCGTCGGTAAGCGTGTGATGCACCCTGGCCCCCAGAGGCAGCCCCAGCACCCCCAAGTCCCAGGATGCAGCCCCAGGGAGGGAAGGGCTTCTCTCCACACTTCATGCAGGGAGGGGCTGAGCCCCCAAGCCTGGCTCCACCTCCAGACTGTTTGTGGAAAGCTTCCCTTGCTTGGTTCACCTTTGGGGACTCTGGAAAAGGAGGAAAAGGGCTGAGAAATGTTTTGAAAACCAGTTTTGAGGGGGGAAAAGAACCCAAGTGGAGGCCAATGCCCAAGGAGGAAAGAGGAGCAGAGAAAGTCCTGCTGTGGCCTCGCAGCCAGTCTGGGAGGTGCTGGCTCTGGGAGGGTGGGTCCACCCAGCCTGGCGAGTTTGGGGTCCCCACCTGCAGCCACATGCAGACCTGCCTTTGGTGGAGAAAGGCCCCCACGGTCACAGGGGGGCTGCCCCCTCCAGGGGGCATGCCAGACTCCGTCTCCCCACCACCCTGCCCCACTGCAGGGACGGTGCCTCCCCCCAGCCCTGGTACCCTCAGCCGGTGCTCCCAAGCCCTGCCCTTCTTGCTTGTCTTGGGGTGCACCTTCACACCCTGGGACTGAGCAGCCGACCACAGCTGTGGGGGCAGAGCCAGGTGGAGCACGCAGAGGGGGAAGCTTTGGGGGACCATTGGGGCCCCATCGCAGGTGGTCAGTGGTGCACAGGGGTAGGGCAGGGGCTGTGCACTTGAGTTGGGGTTGCCTGGGCCCAGGAGGTCTGGGGCCTGGGTCTCTGAACACCTCTTTAAGGAGAGGCCACCCATCCACGGCCACACCACTGTGGTTTCTGCCCATCCAGGAGCACCGGCCTCTCCCAGGTGAACGCCCTTCTGCGGGAACAGCTAGAGCACTTGAAGAAGGCCAATGACACGCTGGCCGAGGAGCTGGCCAGGACGACAGGCAGCGTGCTCCACCTGCGGGGTGAGCTGGAGCTGAGGGAGGCGCAGCGACGGACCGAGAGACAGGTGCTCCCCTCCTTTTGCTCATTAGTGGGGATGTCTGTTTTGGTGCCTGTGGCTGGGGGGCGGGGGGACAGCAGGGACCAGGAGAAAGTGAGTGGCTTCAGCTGTGGTTCCTGCTGTGGCAAAGCCACTGGCCTCCTGCCACACCATGTCCCCTGCTCAGCAGTCTGTGGAATGGGAGACACTAGGGTGGGGTGACCCCCCCCTTGAGAGAAGGAGGGCACGACCCTGAGGCCAGACTTGGCAAGTAGAATGAGGTCACAGGGTGGGTGCTGGCTCAGCGCGGCCCACCTTGCTCTTGAGTGAGAAGGAGGTCCCCACAGGCCTGCCTCCTGGCCACAGAGGGGTCAGGGCTCAGCGCTCCAGCCTCAGTCCTGTGGGAGGGAGGTATCCAGGCGTTGGTGCCTCTGCTGCCGTCTCTCACGGATGGGGTCCCCTGAAAGAGGTGTGGCCTGGGTGAGGCAGCTCTCTGAGCTGAGGCAGTCCCTGAAGGGGCTGAAGGTGTTCCCGTGACCCTCTCCGTGTCCACCAAAGGCACCATTGGCAGGATTTCTCCCCACACCGCCTGGAGAATGGCTGCCTCCAGGTGGAAGCAGAAGCTCAAGGTGGTCCCCATGTGCCTGGGCCTCAGGCTGGCCCCACAGACGTCCTTCAGACAAGCCCACCTCTGAGGGGCCTCCCTACACTGGCCACACAGGATGAGGTAGAGAGGGCAGCCGCGTGGGCCCCCACAGGCCCTCAGGGCAAAGCTGTCATGCTAGAGAACTTGACCCCACTTCCCTGAGCTCCTCCAGAGCTGTCCTTCCCATCAGAAGCTGTATGGATGCTCTTGGTGCCACCACCACCCTGCACAGGGAGAGCAGGGCACCAGACAAGTCGATTAAGGCATACGAGAGGGAGTGTGCTGCCCTTACACAGTGTCACCCAGAGAGCCATGTCATCATCACAGGGGTTCACTAATGGCAGGGCCTCCACCATAAGGTCGGGGAGATATTTAGACAGATCGCGCCCCACGCCCTGCCTGGTCCACGTCTTCCCACGGCTGGGCTTGTGACACCATGGGAAACAAATGCCCTGGAGGGCACATGCCCAGAATTCAGTTTGGCACTGGTTTATCAAGGGTCTTGAGATCCCCCTCCTGCTTGAAAACCGTTCTCACTGGTTGTAGGTGTTTCCTCTCAGCCTTTAAAGATACCCTTTCTCTGTCTTCTGGCTCCATCGTTTCTGCTGAGAAGTCAGCTTCCAGGGCCTTTGATGCTGACTGACTCCTCGTAAAGGTAATCTGTCTGCCCGCCCTGGTGCTTCACCATTTCTGCTTTGACTTTGGTGTTCTGTGATGTGTCTGTGCGGAGGTTTCCTTTTGTCCATGCTGCGTAGGATTCATCAGGATTTCGTGTCCTTCATTGTTTTTGGAAAGTAGCCACTATCTCTTGGAACATCACCTACGCTTGCTCTCTCTCCTCCCCGTGCATGTTAGCTGTTCTATGCTCTCTCCCATGCTTCTCAGTCTCGCATATTTTCTTTCTTTTTATCGCTCTGGTCTATATTCTAGGTGATTTCTTCAAATCTACCTTCCTCATCATCAGTTTTCTTCTCTGGTGCCCAATCTCTGTTAAACCAGCCTACCTGGCTTGAGTTCCAGATATTGTGTTTTTCATCTTTAAGAATTCTAATTGGTACCTCTCCAAATGTCTTACTCCTAACTCCTATTTTCAAGCCTCTCATTTATGTTGGATCATAGTTTTGTGTTGTTGTGTTTCTTTTTTTGTTGAGGAAGATTTGCCCTGAGCTAACATCTGTGCCAGTCTTCCTCTATTTTGTATGTGGGTCACCGTCACAGCATGGCCGCCAACAAGTGGTGTAGGTCCACGCCCAGGAATCAAACCTGGGCCACTGAAGCAGAGCGCACCAAACTTAACCACAACGCCACAGGGCTGGCCCCTAAAACACAGTTATTTTATGGTCTGTGTCTGTTGTTCTAACATCTGAAGTTCTTCAAGGCCTGATGCCGTTGTTTCTGCTGGCTCTTGACCATGGTGCTTTGTTTCCTTGCGTCTTTGGTGACTTTTTTATTTTTTCACCCAAGAACTGCGTATTTTCCTTGGAATTTTGTGAAAATTCTTTGAAACGTGGAAGGGATGTGGTATTCTCCAGAGAGGATTTTCATTTGCTTCTGACAGGTGCCTAGGGGCTCTGACAGACCCCGGGGCCACGTTGAAATAAATTTTCAGCCTGAGTTTTTTTGAAACACCCAGATTACATGAATTCAGGCTGAAAATTGCATAAAGCCTAACTTGTGGTTCCAAATCCACAGGGAAGATTTTTCTTCCTTCCTGTCTTAGTCCTTCTGGGCCGCCATGACATAGACTTGGGCGCGTATAGACAACAGACATTTATTTCTCACAGTTCTGGAGGCTGGAAATCCGAGATCATGGTGCCAGGTGGTTCAGTGTCTGGTGAGAGCCGGCTGCCTGGATCACAGACAGCTCCTTCTCGCTGTGTCTTCACACGATGGAAGGGGCTAGGGAGCTCTCTGGGGTTTATAAGGACACTAGCCCCGTTCCTAAGGGCTCCATCCTCATGGCCTAGTCACCTCCCAAAGGCCCTGGACCTCCTAATACTGTCACAGTGGGGATTAGGGTTCAACATAGGGCTTTTTGGGGGACACAAACGTTCCGCCCATTGCATCTCCTTACAGTGTCATGCAGGCAGGGGTGTGTGTGTGCACATGCACACACGTTCTAATTCACTCACTTCTAGCACGCCTCACTTAGAGTGCAGCTTTGGGGTGCCACTTCTGTGTGTGAGCAGACACTCCCTTTGGGTGGCTCCTGGGCTATTCTCTCTGTCCTCTGAGCCCCTTGTGGTCAAGGAAATGTGTTCGAGTTGCTCAGTTAGGCAAGAGGTTGCCTGCGTTCCTCCTGAGTCCCTGACTTCACGGGTTCCTAGCCTGTGTGTTCTTACCATGTTGGCCAGCCCAGCCCTGCGTCCAGGAAGCTGAGAAGTCTGGATTCTAACGTGTTTAACTGCATCTATTGGGCAGGCTCGTCCCAGCTCTGCCACTCGTATAAGCAGGAAGAGCCTCCAGGCCCTGCTCCTGGACGATCCCAGTCTGGGTGGGGAGGGGTGCAGCTAACGCAGGTGTACCTAGGGCTCTGGCGCCAGGCACAAAGCGGCCTGCCCTGCAGGTGCCCAGCTGAGGTAGTGGCTCAAGCGGGGCCTCGGATGTGTGCCCAGGGGAGGGGATCAGCAAAGGCTTCATGAGGGAAGAGGTGGGTGTGCGGGTCTTGAGGGACAGGCACACCGTGAATGCGCTCTGTCTGAAAGCAACATTGAAGGGCATCAGGCGGGGCTGGAACAAACGGGAGGGGCAGGGGGCACATGGAAAGCACTGGGCATGTCGCTGAGCCCTCCAGAAGTCCCTGAGGTCAGCCTTCAGGGCACAGCCGAGCAGGGACTGGGGAGGTGATGTAGAGACTCTTACCTTTTGGGTGTCAGCTTAGTTCCCTGCAAGCCTGGCACCAGTGACCACACATGGCTCCATCCCATTGCTGCCCCCGCCTCTCTACTCCACACCCCCAGCTGCAGACACAGTCCTGCAGTGGGCCCCACCCCACCATTAGCACCCTAATTCGCTCTGCCTTGCCTCAGGGGAGGCTCACCACCCTGCCCTGTGAGCCGGAGCTAGAGCGTAGAGGTTTCTGTGTCCTCCACACCTTCAAGGGCGAGGCCCCACCTCTGACATCTTAGGAGCCCACTGACAGCAAGAGCTGCTCTCTCGGTGCTGGAGAAGGAGGAAAGGCCCCTCCTCCACCCTTCCCGCCCCCCTGCACTGGAGGGGCCACAGCTCCATGCTGCAGAAGGGCCTCATGCCCCAGCAGGGAGACCCGGCTAAGTGGGTTCTTCTTCTGAGCAGGAGCTGGGTGTGGTCACCTCCCCGGGTCGTCTGGGGTGGGGTGGGGGTGATGGAAGCACTGCCCCCCTGGGGGGCATTTGCATTATTCTGGAAGATGAGCTCATGGGACGGGGGCTGCAGGAGCCGGGAGGCAATGCAGCGTCCACTCCTGGCCCCTTGGAGCCCGCACAGCGTGGTGTCTGGAAGAGGGAGTTGTGGGGAGAGTGAACGGGGTCGCAGGCCTGAAGTGGACGTGAGCCTCTTGCTCTCAGACCCAGCGTACACGCTCAGGGGAGCCCCGGGACTTCCTCCTCATGTGGAGACAGGTCACAGCGCTCCGTGCACACCTGGCTGAGCTGCGTGCAGCCACTGAGAGGTGAGTGCCAGCCGCCCCGCCTACCGAGAGCTGGGCGCAGGCCCCGTCAGGTGGTGGAGAAGGAGTGTCTGAGGGATGGGTGCAGCAGTTCTGGCTCACAAGCCCCTTACCAGCCCTGTCTGCTGGTTGGCCCCGTGGGAGTGGTGGAGAGGGCGGGAGAGGTGGGCAGTGGGGAAAGGGACAAATGGACAGAACGAAGTAGGCAGGGATGCAGGGAGCGATGGGAGGAGGGCAGGCCAGTTATGGGGACACTACCAGAGGCGAGGAACGGCATGGATGAAGCTTCTGAGTCCCTCTGGTCCCTGCCAGACACCTCCCACAGGTCTGTCCTGGGGTCACCCCTATTTTCACACAAGGAAACTGAGGCTCAGAGGGTCAAGGTCCTGATCGAGGACATCCTGTCCTGTCCAACCTGGCACAGCCCCTGCTCCCCCCTCCCTGGCTATGACGTGGGGACAATTGATGCCACGTGGTGGGGGCTTCTTCTGAGGATAGCAGGGGAGGGGGTCTGCTGTGGGCGGAGAGCAGGCTGATGTGACCAGACCCTGCCTCTCCCAGCCCAGCTTGAGCCTCCTGGGCCCAGAGCCCACAGAGGGTCCTGAGGCTCAGCTGGGGGTGCCGCCCTTGTCTCCCAGGGGTCTCGCTGACATGCGAGCGGACACAGCCAGGACGGCCCGTCGCCTGCACAGGGCCTGTCTGAACCTGGACTCCCACCTGCGGCTGTCAGCCAGCCGTGCGGCCGACGCCCTGGAGCAACGGGCCCTGCAGGGCACACGGCTGGAGCAGCAGCTTCGGGACAAGGTGCGGGAGATGCTGCAGCTGCAGGGCCGCTGGGACACGGAGAAGGTGGCGCTCCAGGCCAGGTGGGTGCCAGGGTCGGCAGGTCCGCCAGGGTGGAGGTCAGAGGGGAAGGGGCACCCCCTGTCTGCTGAGCAGTGGCCAATTCCAAGATGCGCCCATCACTCACATGCAGTTTTGTGTCCTGATTTTCACCCCAAATTCTGACTCCCTCGACGCTGCACACAGTTCATAATCCCTGTCCCGGCGGCTGCTCAACATGGGCCCGGATCTCCTTGGCCAATCCCTGGAGGCCACGTTAGGTCCCCTGACTCTGAGGCTTTAGTGAGCGCCACAGTGGGCCCACCTGGGCTGGTTCTGCGTGGCCGGTTCCCACAGTGGCGTCTTCAGCACTGAGATCACAAGTGTCCTTCCAGGGCGGGCGCTTGTAAGGAGGAAACCATTTAAGAAGCTGAGGCAGGCAGAGGGGCCAGGCCGCCCTGGTAGGAATGAGACCAGGGCCCCATCTGGGATCCATGAGATGCAGAGTAAGCATGGAAGGTTCTGGACACAACCCACCTCTGGGCTCGGAAGGAACTTCAGCAGGAAATGGGGAGACGGCTGCCCAGTGAAGGGCTCACCTGTCACTACGGGGTGCGACTCCACAGAACTTGGGGGTCCGGGACTCCTTAGCCACAAACACCTGCCAGGCTGACAAGTCGAGCCCACCCTGCCCTCAGGGGGTCAGCTGAGTGGAACACACCCCAGCCCAGCCCCAAAACAGCACCCGAGTGGTGCCCAGGGTTGCTCCTTGGCTCAGTGCAGCCTGCAGGGGCAGCCCCCTGGGGTCTGGGACCATGGGAAGGGAGAGCCGGGGGCCACAGGGGGAGCCAGGGGTCTCTGAGAAGAAGGTGGGAAATGAGGGACAATATCATCGCTCACTGTTAGATTTATGGTGACAGAGGTGTTCCAAGCAGAGGGAGCAGCCAGGGCAAAGGCCTGGAGGTGAGCATTGCCTCTGCCATGCCACAAGGACAGGGCAGGACCTTGAGAAGCCGCTGGACGGGAGGCTGGAGAGCTGAGTCACGGCCAGGGTGGGGGCCTTGAATGCTGAACTCAGAGTCTGCACTTTGCTCCCAAGACAGCAGGAGCTACTGAAGGCTCTAGAGCAGGAGAGAGGCATCTGATCAGACCAGGGACTAAGGCTGGCTCAGACAGAGGGGGCCAACATCGGGGGCAGGCCACACAACTGGAGACGTCTGACAGAGCTGCGGCATCTCTGGGCCACCCATGCTCTGTGCTCTGTTCTCTGCCCTGATGACCCCATCCCCCCCACCCCTCGACTTTTCTCCAGACTCTCAGAGCAGATGCTGCTGGTGGAGAAACTCACAGAACAAAACTCAAAGAAGGAGAGAACCATCTCTTCCCTCAAAATGGACGTTCAGAAACTGGTGCGTGGGGCTGGGAGGCAGCGGCCCTGCAGGGGGGTGTCTGTCCGCCTCGCTGAGGGGTCTGCCCTGGCCGCAGGAGTCCCGGCGTGGCGGAGGCCGGCTGGCAGCGGACGACCTGAGGGACCAAGTGGAGTCGCTGCAGCACGTTTTGGACAGCATCACTGAGGTGCAGGCCCATCTCGGGTCCTTCCCGCAGCAAAGCCGCCAATGGGCTGCAGGGTCCCCATGATTCTAGCTGACTCATGAGATAATCTGACAGGTCCCCATTTGGCCATGGCCCTGAGCTGTCTCCCCCCATCCCTTCCTCTCTGCACCCTGAAGGTGGCCCAGGCGGACTCGGGGTGCCTGGAGCTGGTGTGGAGCAGCAGCATGGAAGGCGAGAAAACGCAGGACCGACTGAGGAGCCCCCCACGCACTGCGTCCCCCTACCGGGGCGTGTCGCCACCACGGACGCGCTCCCTGGCTGCCTCGGACCCTGCACTGAGGGCTGTGCAGGCAGCCATTCAGAGGTGGAGGCTGAAGGAGCAGGTGGGCAGCCACAGCCCGTGGGGGCAGCAGAGGCAAAGCTGTCTCCTGGTCCCCACCAGGGGCAACGCCGTGAAACCCACCAGGCTGAAAGGTGCCGTTACAGGGCCTGCCTGTGTCTCGCCAAGGTGGGCTGACCGCAGGGTCTCCACGGGGCCTGCCCTGAGCCCCACAGCCCTAGGGAGGGGGCTCTGGTCTAAGTGCATCCTTTCTGGGAGAGTCTGTGGTCAGAGGCCTGCGCAGGCTGGAGAGGGCTCACGCCACATCCTCACGCCCGGGCAGGAGCTGCGCCTGCAGCTGGAGTCCTCCCAGGCGGTGGTGGCCGGGCTCCGGGAGCAGCTGTCGGAGAGCCAGCAGGAGCTGCGGGCCTCGCGGAGGCTTTTGCAGGAGCGGGCACAGGAGCAGGCGCGGGAGTATGAGGACCTCCTGGGCAAGCTGGAGGCGCAGAGCCGGGAGGCACAGCACTGCAGGGCCACCAGCGAGCTCCTGGGAAGGTGAGGGAGGGCTGGGCTGGGCAGTCCCAGCCTGGGCGTGCTTCCTCCCTATAGCCTTCTATCGGGAGGGAGAGGGCCAGCTCCCAGAAAGAAACCTCCACCAGCAAGGCCTCCTCCCCTTGTCCCACTCCGTCACTAAGCGGGCCCCCTTTCCCCTCATCTGGGCCCATCTGGGCTGTGTCTGCCCGGGACTCACCTTCTGAAAGCCCGGCTGGGCACATGCTGGCCCCCTCGGCCTGCACCCCACGCTCTCCTCCGGGGAGCAGCCTGTGCTCTCTCCCACCTCCTGCCTGACTCCCAGGGCTCCTCCCCGGGTCTTACCCATCCTTCAGACATGGCCCATAAAACCCCAATTCCGTTCCCTCCCCATCCATTGGAGTGCCCCATGTGCCTTCTTGGTGTGTCCTGTGGAACCGGTGGGTGGCCTCTCGTGCAGTTTGCCATGAGGCTCTCTGGATGCTTCTGTGCACGTCTTACCGCCCTGGGGTTGGTAGGGGTCGGGGGTGTGGGACGAGAATCCCCCGGGACTTATAGTCCTGAGTGAGCGGCTCAGCCGGGCTTCCCAAATCCACACACTGCTGAGCCGGGACATGGGGAGCGGGCAGAGTGTGATTGGGTGTGGGCGGGGGCTCAGGAAGGTTTCCTGCAGTAGTGGGCAGAGGAACAGATGCACCACCTCCCGTGCTTCCCCTCACTCACCCCTGGGGGTCGGGCCTGCGGCCCCCTTCAGGGGTTGCTCCTTCTCTCTGGGCGGCCTGACGGTGAGCTCAGGGCTGGGACAGGAGGTCCAAGGAAACATTGGCCGCAATCCTGCCTTGAGATGTGCATGGGGAGGGGCAGAGAGATGCGAGCTGATGGGCTCAGCCTGGCACAGGGGCCTGGGAGTGGAGAAGCCGGGAGGGCCCCTGGAGGACAGAAGCCTGCAAGGGAGATGTGTGCAGGGCGAGGCAGGTAGGGGCCACACCACCACAACAAGAAGCAGAGGGCGGTGAGGGCCACGGGGGAGCTGTTAGCAGGGGCACTGTCTTCAAACCCACGGCTGGAAGGGCTCGTCTGGCTGCTGTGGTCCTAAGTGGGCCCATTGGCACCAGAGGCGGGGAAAGAGGGGCCAGACCCAAGGAGCATGCAGGAAATGGGGTCCCAGGTTTCAGGGGCCAGGGCTGGAGGGGGAGCAGCTGAGATCCAGCTTCCTGGCTGATGGGGGACAAGCAGAGAGGACTCAGGACTGGCTCAGCCACTGAGCACGGCTTTGCACACGGGGGCTGGAGCTCGAGGGTCCGAGGTCCCGTCAGGATGAGGTAAGCATCTCAGGCACGTGTGGACTGGGGCGGGCACGGGCAAGGAGGTGTCCCTTCCTTCCTCTGAGTTCTGCAAGGACTGGCTGGGCTTGGCCTGCAGGCGGCAGAGGGCTGAGCACAGGGTTCACCAGGGAGCAAGACTCTCGAGTGCCTTAGGGGCTTCTGCGGGGCCTCAGGGGAGGGGGACAAGGCGTCCAGTGGCCACCCCACCTCCACAAGCCAGCCTGAGCCTGAGGTGGATGGATCTTCCTCCTCCCTCCACCTGCTCCCCTGAGCTCCTGCCCCAAGCGGCCTCCACGGCCTGGCGCCCACCCTCCCGGTGAGGAGCCTTGAGTATGCCCAGTGAGGGCTCCCCCACCCTGATGCATGTCCCAGGGCTTCCTCAACCTCTGCCTCCCCTGCTCCCAGGGAGAAGAAGGCACTGGAGTCGGTGGTGGAGGAGCTGCGGGGGAAAGCGAACACTTGGGACGTGGAGAGGCAGAGGCTGGAGACCAAGAACGCTGAGCTGCAGAGAAGCCTCCTGCTGTGGGCGGGGCAGAAGGAAGAGCTGGTGCAGCGGGGCCAGCGGGGCCGGAGGGAGCTGGAGACCAGGTGGGCCGTGCGGAGGGGCTGTGGGCCGTGTGGGGTCTGCCTCTGCCACCGGCGGGCTGTCACCTCCCTTCTCGGGGTCTCACTGTCCTCATCCGCTAGTGGGATGGCTTCTTTAGCAGTCTCATCTCAGAGCGCAGGAGGTGCCTGACGGCACAGCAGGGTAAAGGGCTCTCCCGGCTCCTCCAGGTTGGGCCGTCACCCCCACACCCACACCCGCACCCACTCCCATGTCTGGTCCAATGCCTGGTCCAATGCCTGCCGCCAGGCAAATCAAGTGCCCCGGGCCCAGCAGAGGGGATGTCCCCCCAGTCTGTGCAGACACATGCACACACCTCATGCAGACTGAGGTCTCCCCTGAGAACACCACCCCACCCTACTCCAGCCCAGAAATGGGCCCGATCCGGATGCCACCCTCCCAGACTCAGCAACTTCCCGGCCCTCCAGGGTGCCCTCGTGCTCCTTTGGGGCTCCCTGGGCTTGGAGGGAGGTACAGGCAGTGGCCCTGCCCTCTAGGTCCTGTGAGGTGGCCCCCATCTCGCCCTGAGGCAACCTCACGCCCTCTGCCCTCTGGTTTCGGGGCCTCAGTCAAGGGCGCCTGGAGCAGCTGGAGGAGAAGGTCTCCTGGCTCAAGAAGGAGCTGTTGTCGGCCCGGGAGGCACTGAACACCGCGCAGCTGCAGAGGGACGTTCTGGAGAGCGAGAGGGAGGGTCTGCGTGGTGCCCTGGCCCGGGTATGCCCACACCCTCCCCCAACCCCCATGGCGTGCCATCTCTCTCCCACCATCTGCCCAGCTTACCCCCTCCCACTCATCTCTCTCCTCTCCCGCTTGGGCCCTCAGTCCATCCCCAGAGCTCCAGAGTCACCACCAGTGGGCGCCGGCCCCTCTCTCTGACCACTGACCACACCTGGCTTCTCAGCGGTCTCTCCCTCCCTGTGACTGCCCTATCACCTCTCCTGGCTGCAGCCTCAGTACTCAGGGGGCCATCATCTTCCACAGAGGCCTCCCCACTGTGCGACACCTTCCACATCGTCCCACCCAGAGCTCTGGCTTGCATACCTCCGTGACTCGGGGCTCACTCCCTCCATGGCACGAACAGCTCTGCCCGAGAATCTGAAAGTCCCTGCCTGGAGTCCCCCCTCAGGGTGATCACTGCCCTCCCTCCCTCCCTGCCTTAGGCCGAGTCGGGCAGCGCTGACCTGGAACTGCTAGTGACTCGGCTGAAGTCCGAGGGGGTGGAGCAAAGGGACTCTCTGGCCAAGATGGCCGCCCTGATGGAGGGGCTGGCTCAGGACAAAGGCACCCTGAACCACCTGGTCCTGCAGGTGAGACGAAGGCCCAGGTGGGTGGACCTTGCCCTGAGCCTCACCTCCTCCAGGGGTCTGTGAGGCTCTGTCCCAGCACTGGGTCTCCGAGCCCTGGCCCCTCCCTTCAGCCACTCTCCTCCTCATCTTTTCCTTCCCTGGACTGAGAGCAGATACCGGGGGGCAGAGGCCCACAGAGGGACAAGGGAGCCTGACGGGCCCTGGCCAGGCCTGAGGGAAGGGAGGCCGCACCCGCGGCTAGGGCAGGCCAGGGCGGCAATGGTCACCCGTGGAGGCCGAGGGCAGGCAGTGCATGGGTCTGGACGCAGACCTCTTCCGACCCGCTGCTGGCAGCTGGAGCAGGAGCGGGACCAGCTACGGGAGCAGCAGAAGGCTCTGGAGCAGGAGCGGGCAGGCGCCCAGGAGCAACTGGCACAGGCGGAGCAGCAGCTGGAGCTCGTGCGGGCCGAGCGGCGGGGCCTGCAGCAGGCCTGCGGGCGCCTGGAGGAGCAGCTGGAGCAGCTGGAGGGGCGGGCGGCCCAGCTCAGACGCGAGAGGGCCCAGCTGCAGGAGGAGCTGGGCCAGGTGAGGAGTCTACAGGGCTCCCGGCTCCCAGCGCCCACCCAGCAGGGCCGCCCCAGCCTCTCTGGGGTGTGGACGGGTCCCACGTCACCTTGAGAAGTCACCGTGGCTTTCTAACTGCGATGCTAACTGACCTGGCTGGATTGGAGCCAGCTCCCTGGTGGGGGAGGGGGTGGGAGGGGCAGCGGAAGGGATACACAGAGATGAACATTCACCTCAGGCCCGTTCCGACATCCCGGGGCTGGGTTCTGATCCTCATCACCCAGTGGTGTCCGCACACTCGGGGGTAAAGGGCTTCCTCCTCTGTCTTCTTTCTCTCCCTCCTGGACCACGTCCACCCAGCCGACTGCCCCAGTACCCACTCACTCATGCATTCATGCATTCGTCCCCAAATCTTCTAGATTTCCCATTGAGGAGGTCAGACTCAGTGGGGAGTGTCACTGAAGCAGTTTTACCATTTCTGATCTCAGGCTTGTTGGTTCAAATGGACACCCTGTCTCTGCAGACTTGGGCCCCCCGTGGCATTCAGACTCCATTGCCCCTGTCACCTTCAGGACTCAGTACAGCCTCTTTCAGTTTCTCAGATGCTGTTTCCTCTTTTTTTAATTGAAGTGTGATTTCCATTCAGTAAGTCAGCGTACAGCTCAAGGATTTTTGACAGTTGTATGCACCTGTGTAGTCACCACCGACATCAAGATGCAGAACGTCTCCCCCAGCCCAGGAGCTTCCCTCATGCCCCTCAGTCACCACCCCCCCCCCGCCCCCCGCCAAGGAGCCTCTGCTCTGACGGGTCCCACTGTGGACAGGTTTCACTTATCTTAGAACTTCTTGTAAATGGAGTGACAGAGTCCAGACTTTTGTGTCCAACTTCTCTCTCTCAGCATGACACCTCTGAGAGCCATCCATGTTGTTAGGTATACCAAGAGCTTGTTCCTCTTGACTGCACAGTAATATTCCATTGGATGAATAAACCGCATTGGCTTGCCCGTTCACCTGCTGCTGGACATCTGGGTGGTTTCCAGTTTGGGGCTATAATGGACAAGACTGCAATGAACATTTGCACACAAGTCATGTTCGTGTACAGTCATGCGTCACTTGACGGGGGTGCAATCTCAGAAATGTCTCATTGGGCGAGTTTGTCATCGTGCGAACATCACAGAGGGTTCTTACAGAAACCTACATGGTCGAGCCTACTACACACCTAGGCTTTGTGGTGCTAACCTTGAGGGACCACCATCATATGTGCAGTCTGTGTCGATCAAAACATGGTCATGAGTGACGTGACTGTATTCTCATTTCTTTCGAGTAAACGCTTAGGAGTGAAATTGTGGAGTCATGGGGTAGGTGTGTGTTGGACTTCACAGGAAACTGCCAAGCAGCTTTCCAAAGTGGTTGTGCCGTTTCCCTCTCCTGCCAGCAGCACAGAAGACTTCCAGCTGCTCCTGGGCTGTGTCAACATTTGGTATCAGCGGCTTTTGTTTTTAGCTGTTCTGTGTGTGTGAAGTTATGTACCATTGTGGCTTTAATTTGCATTTCCCTGATAACAAAAGATGTCGATCACATTTTTATGCACTTATTGGATATTCATATAGCTTTTTTTGTCAAGTGTCTGTTCGTCTTTCACCCATTCTTTACTGGGTTTCGTGTTTTGTTTACGGATATGTGGGAGTCCTCCTTCTATCCTGGATACAAGCACTGCCTCAGGTAGATGTACTTCTCTTGTTCCTCAAGTTTGTGACTGGCCTGTACATTTCCTGATCGGTAATTTTGATGGACAGAAAATTTTAACTCTGGCAAAGTCCAGTTTAGCAAGTTCTTAAAAGATTTATGGCTAGCGTTTTCAGGGTCCTGTCTGGGGACTTTTTGCCTAGCCCAAGGACAAGGAAATGTCTGCTGTGTTTTCCTCTGGCTCTTGCGTTTAGGTCTATGGTCCATTTCAAGTTGATTTCTGTATAGAGCGGTTCTGAGAGCGGGATCCCCAGACCAGCAGCACGGCATCCCGTGGGGGCTTGCTGGAAATTCAGATTCTCAGCCCACACAGACCTGCTGAATCAGAACTCGGTGGGCAGGGCCCAGAAACCTGGATTTTAAGTAACCACAAGGGTGATTCTGAGGCACAGTGAAGTGTGAGAGCCACAGGCGTATGGTATGAAGTAGGAACTGAAGTCTGTTACTTTTCATACTAATACGCAGTTGTTCCAGCACCATTTTTTGAGAAGACTTTCCTTTCCCCTTGAATTGCCTTGGTGACTTGTTGGAAATAAATCGATCATATATGTGCATCTTTGTGCACAGATCATATTGTTGATCTGTGCAGGTCCATCTATTGTTCATCTTTTCACCAAAACCACGCTGTCTCGATTCCTGTAGCTTTTTAGTAAGTCTTGAAATTAGGTGGTATGAGTCCTCCAATCTTACTCTTCCTTTTCAAGGTTGTTTCGGCTGTTCTAAATCCTTTGCATATCCATATGCATTTTAGGATCAGCTTGTCAATTTCTACACCCCCCCTCCCAAAAGCCTGATAAGTCCTTGATTGGGATCATGTTGAATTTATAGATCAACTTGAGGGGACTGGACATCTTACTTAAGTTGAGTCTTCCATCCATGAATATGGCATAACTCTCTGTTTCTTTCTTTACTTACTTCCTCCTGGCTGTATTTTGTAGTTTAGGTCAAGTTCCCAGCCTGTTAGCCGAGGCTTTATCCTTGGGTCCTGAGGCTCTAGGCCCTGAGCTTCTTAGGAGCTGGCTGATTCTTCAAGGGGAAATCTGCGCTAGAAGGTCAGACTCCTTTTACTACATCTCTCAAGATTCGGGCCCCCTTGGGTCTTGGCTGTCCTGGGATCTCTAAGGGCTTCACACAGATATGTTGGAGGTGCATTCTACAGTTTTCCTAGCTGCTGTCGGTGGGAGGGTTGGTCTTCAATAGTCTACTTCACCATTATCAGAAGCAGAAAATTCTTGTCTTTATGTTTGAAGAATATTTTCACTAGGTATAGAATGCTCAGATAGCCATTATTTTCCTTCAGCATTTTGATGAGCTCTTTCCACTGCCCTCTGGCTTTCATTGTTGTTATTTGGAAGTCAAATGTCCGTCTTATTGTTGCTCCGTTCAAGGTAACGTGTGTTTTTTCCTCTGATTTTAAAACATGTTTTTATCTTTGGTATTCAGAAACTTTACTGAGATAGACCTATGTGACATTTTCTTTGTGTTTATTGTTTGGGGGGATGATGGCTCATTTTAAATCTGTGGCCTGATGTATTCTATTAAATTTGGAAAATTCTTAGCCAGTATCTGTTCAAATATTCTCTGTCCTCTCCCTCTGAAACTCTAATTATATGTATGTTGGACCTTTTTTACCTTATCTGTATGTCTATTTTGCTCTTTTCTGTATTTTCCATCCTTTTTTCTCTTCATGATTTGGTCTAAATACATTTTCTTTTTTTATTTTCCAGATTATTAGTCTTTTGCTCTGTCTAATCTGCCAAACCCATATATTTATTAATTTTGATTATTGTATTTTTAAATTATATTGTTTATATTTAGTTTCTAGTTCTGTTGTGAAATTCTGCATCTTGCCATTCATCTTCTTGAACATTTTATCACAGCTATTTTAAAGTCTGCATCTGATAACTCCAATATCTGGAGAGCCAAGGGGGTGGGGAGGCAGCTGTGTTTATTTTGTGTTCTTACATGTGGTTTTGGCCATATGATCTTATCTGCTGATATGCCTGCTAATGTTGATTAAATGCCAAATGTCATGTATACAAAAAGTCTAGAAATGCATTGAGGACCTTGATGATGCTGTTCTTCTTCTGGAAAGGATTTCCTTTTGATTCTGGTGGGCAGTGAAGAGAAACGATGACGGTAATTCATGATTGAGGTGATTCAGATCCGAGCTTCAGTTTTTATGAGGGTCTCGTTCTGACTCACCTCTCCTACAGGGGTGAAGACCTTCTGTGGATACATTTAGAAACCTGGGGTGTTTATCAGGGCTTCTCTGCTGTGATGGCTCTGAACTTGAGTTTTTGTACCCTATGGGCCATGGTACTACCAGAAGCTCTCCCTGGCTTCTCAATTTCTTGGCCAAAACTTTTCAGTCAGCAAATGCTCTGAGGAGAGAAGAGGTACCGAACAGTGTGCTTATTCCCGTTTCCCTTCTCTCCAAGATCTTGGCTCCTTCAGTCCCAGCTGTCTGAGGACGTATACAGATTCCCATGATATATTTTGTCTAGATTTTTGTGAAGTTCTTGGTGCAAGTGTTGGTCTGCCACAGCCTGGTCCTTTGTCACCTCCTATTGCCATTCTTTGTGATGTTTCCTGTCCTCTGGACGCTTGTGGTCCAACCAAGGTTACCATTTAGACTGGCAGCTGGCTCCCCCCTGGGAGCGCTCAGTTCAGTAACTCCTCCATCACGGTTACAGGGGTGGTGGTCCCTACTACTGTGAAAACACACCTGTGCTTCTGGGGTCCACTATGTCTTAGATCCACCCTCCTCCTCCACGCCCTTCTGGATGACACTGCTCCTTCTGAAGTCCCTCTTTTCCCTTAAGAGGCCCCTCCTCACCCTCCTACTCACTCTCTCTTTCTCTGCTGAACTCACCCCTTCCCCACCATCCTTTAGGTCACATGCAAGAAACAGGCCCTGGAGGAGCAGCTGGCCCAGAGCCTGCAAGACCGGGAGGCCCAGATGGCCACTCTGCAGAGGACCCTGAAGGAGAAGGAGGCCCTGTCTGAGGAGCGGACTCAGCTGCTGGCCCAGCAGGAGGCCCTGGAGAGGCAGGGCCGGCTCACGGCTGAGGAGGCAGCTGACCTCAGGTACCCAGGGGCCCGCTGGTGGGGTGTGTCCACATGGCCTCGCCCACAGTGTGGCAGAGGGAAGCACTCACTTAGTGACTGTAGGGCAGGGCGAGTACGTCTATATGGGAGAGAGGCTGTGAGTGAAGGGCGAACACTGCCTGTGGGTGAGGGAGCATCTAGAAGAGGTAACTCTAGCGAGAGACCTGGGGTGGCCTCCTGAGCGAGGTGGCTGCACAGGCTGGGTGGCAAGTAGCGGAAACCCAGCTCAGACCAGCGGAAATGAAATGTCTTGTCTGTGGATCTGAGAAGTTCAGGGTACACATGACTTCAGGCAAGGCTGGATCCAGGCACTCTCACTGTGCCCTCAGGATCCTGCCTCTCCCCTCTCAGTGCTGCTGGACTCTGAGGAGATTCCATTCTCAAGCAGGCTCAGGGAGAGAGGCAGCAAGATGTCCAGTGGCCACTCTAGGCTTCCTCCTCCAGCAAATGCAGAGTGCCCTTCTCCCCACAAGGCCCCAGAGCTGCTGCCATTGGCTATCTTGAGCCATTTGATGTCCCTGAATCAATCCTGGGAGTCATGGAGGTCCCATGGCCATGCCTAGAGGCAGGGGTGGCATCAGCCCCAGAGAACTATGAGGCTGAGAGTGAAGAAGGACAAGTCCCAAAGACCGTCAGGGGCCACTTCCAGAAGACATGGAATGGGCACTTGTAGGCAGGAACAGGGGGTGCCCTGGAGGCTGCTCCCTTGTGAGCTGAGCTGTTCCTGCGGCCTCTGTGGAAATCCAAAAGCCGATGCCTCTCTGCGCCTTGTGGGCCCTTCTCAGGAACAACTACATGTTTCTGTAGGCAAGATTTCCTCCTGGAATTCCAGAATCGGGGGGGCACGAGAACCATTTGAGTCCTGGATCCTTGAACATCTTCACAGACAAACTTCTCCAAATGGAAGCTTATGCACAAATCAGAACAGAAAACCTGACGAAGAGTGCTCTGGGTTGGCGGGAGCAGCACGCAGGCCCCTGCCTCTTGCCCCCCCACCCCCACCCCACCTCCCGACACCACCCCGGGGCCCCACGGGTGCTGGGAGGAGCAGAGTTTGGGGGCTCCTTTCCTCCTGCCAGCATTTGCTGTCCGGATCACGGGCCCTGGTCAGAGGCTTCAGCAGCCCTGACCACCGGGCCCAGGGCCAGATCTACATGTGGTGGCCCTGCAGCCCCCACTAAACAGCATTTCACGATGACCAGTCTTAGCTTCTGGTGACAGGGCTGCTTGCGACTTGTCCTGAAGCCATATCTGCCTGGTACACATGGTGTGTGTTTATCTGGCTGGCTTGATGGGGCTAGAGGGTCTGGCCGCCACAGTTTTAATGAGCTCCCAGGTAATGCTGACGACCACCAGGTGCCAGAAGGCAGCCCCAGCACCTGCTGCTCTGATGCAGCCTCCCACCATCAGCCTGATGACAGAGGACTCGGGTTTCGAGGTCCTCCAGCCCCCAGGCCCTGACAAGGCTGCTACGCTGGGTCCAGCCTCTCAGTTCACAGGCTTGTGAACTTGTCAGCCCGCTTGTTAGCCAGTGAGATGGACTTCAATCCCCGCCAGCACCCTGCACTCACCCTTCCTGGTCATGCCGGGCCTCCGCTGCGCGAGGCTGAGATGCTCTTGGGCTCCCGTGGAGGGAGTGACTAGACTCGCCCTCAGATTCCCAGGCTTCTGGTGAAGATTCTGGTGTCTGAAGAGCAGAGGCCACTTCTCCCAGAGGGGACCAGGCCAGCGTCTGGGAGGAGGAGGGTTCCAGGTGTACCTGAGAGGGGATTTTCCGCAAGCAGAGCTACGGAAAGCTTTCCGGGCAGAGGGAGCGCTCGCACTGACACAGATGCAGGGAGTAGGGAACGCATGGGGTGCTTACGAGGATGGGGATTGGGATATCAGAGAAGGGGCGTTTCCGGGCTCTGCAGACACCAGGGAGCCCTGGAAGGGTTGATGTGCCCCGACAAAGGTGGCAGTGTGTGCAGAAAGGGCAAGGGAGACCAAGGCGGGGCGTAGTCAGGGCGAGCAAGGTGGCCCACGGCACTCCCTGACCCATCGACTTGTGTGGGGTTGTGTTTTCTGCTGTGTGTTCGTGTGCGTATTTGTGTTTGAGTGTTTGCGGTGTGTCGGTGCGTCGTTTGGTTGGTTGCTTTTTTCACTGTACATCAGCCAGCACTGGCAGGGCATAGTAACCCTTAAAACATGCTCGCCTCTGGTTGATGACTGATCAGAAACTCAAGCCACTTTACCACCGTCTCCAGAAACGGGCCCTGCTGTGAGTTGCTATGTATCGGTCCAGGTTTCTTCTGAGCGTTTGCATCTGTGTGCACAGAGAGGCAAAGGCAGCCGCTGTATGTAACAGAACTGTGCTGTGTGCACAGTTCTCCTTTGACAGGCTGCTTTTCAGAGCGATTCTTTCCATGAAAGGAGAATAGAGAAGAGAGTTTCCTCATCCTCATTAACAACTGATGAGGTGCGCCATAACTTCTGGAACACTCTGCCATTTGTCAGCATTGAAGCTGAGTCTAGTTAATGCCCGGTAGAAAGCTTCGGTGTTCATTCTCGTGTGTGCATTATTGGTTTGTGTGTATTCCTAAAGTGGAATTGCTGGCTCAAAGATATGCACAATTTTGGGGCTGGCCTGGTCGTGCAGTGGTTGAATTCATGGCTCTGCTTTAGTGGCTCAGGATTCACAGGTTTGGATCCCAGGCATGGACCTAGTACCACTCATCAAGCCACACTGTGGCAGCATCCCACATAAAATAGAGGAAGATTGGGACAGATGTTAGCTCAGTGACAGTCTTCCTCACACACACACACAAAAGATATGCATACTTTGATTTGAAATTTCCCAGCCACCTCGCCCCCCCCCCCCAAAGAAAACGGTCTTCACTCCCTTGCCAGCACTGGATATTATTATTAGTTTAAACTTTTGCTAATTTGATGCATGATCATGGTTGTGATTTGAATCACCTCGAGTACTAGTAAGGTTGAGCAAGTTTCATATGTTTATTTGCCATTTGTGTTTTCTTTGTAAATAACACTCATTTTTCTCATTTTTCTGTAGGATCAGCTGACTTTCTGTCATTGATTGGTAGGAGCTCTTTGTATATGATGGATATTAACCCTTTGTATATTTAGTGAAGATTTTATTCTTCAAGTCTGTTCCTCTTTTAAGTTGGTTTGTGGAATCTTTTCTGCCCAAAAGCTCCCCCTCCCTCTTTTTAAATGTATTCAGATCTGTTGGCCCCTTTATTTTTGTTTTCTGGCTTTTGTGTCTTGCTTAAGAAAATTATAAAATACCCTTCTGTATTTTTTCCTACCATTTTTAAAGTTCTGAGTTGTTTGGTTGTTGTTTGTTTGTTTGGTCTTGTTTTTGCATTTAGCTTTTGAATCCACCTAAAGCATTTTTTGTGTGTGTAGGGTCCAATTTGCTTTTAGAGATTTAAAATGAATGAGATGTCCTCGTTTATCTCCTGACTTGCCAGCCTGGCCTTGGTGGGTGCTGCTCCATCACCTGGCAAACGGACTCTGCACCATCCCCCATCAGCAGAGTCGCCTGGGTGACGCGCCCATTGTCTGATGGTTCTCTGCAGGGCTGAGCGGGACTCCCTGGAGAGCAGCCTCTTGGAGGCCCAACAGCTGGCGATGCAGCTGCAGGCACAGCAGGAGCAGCTGGAGGGAGAGGCCCAGAGTGCACGGCTGGCTCGGCAGGCCCTGCAAGGTACTCCTTTCTCCCTGCATCGGCCCCGGAAGGGAAGGGCCGCTCAGTGGAGCTCAGGCCCCAGATGTGCTGCTCCCACTTACTCCCTGGCCTCTTAAAGGGGCACAGACATGGGCCGAGAGTGCTTGTGGCTGAGTGGGTCATGCCACCACTGTCCATGAACGGTGGGCACCTGCCCAGGCTGCCTCCAGCTCTGCCCAAGGCTCAGGCTCAGAACTGGCCTGTGGCCACAGGGTCAGTGTAGCGGCCCCCTGCCCCATCCCATGTTCCCATGCCTGCTCAGCCCACCCACCACGTGTGGGCTGCCCAACCCTGGGCCTGGCCACAGCTGGTGTGGGATGAGGGCTGGGGACACACACACTACAGTGGGCTGCAGAGTCCTCTGTCTCTGCTGGCTCGGGCAGCCTCCTGAGAGCAGGTGGCTGTTACTCCACAGGGAGCTTGCAAGGACCACAGGGGGTTCCATGATGTGGCGGCGCTGTGGCCAGCCCCTGATGTACCTGTCACTTCACAGTGGAAATGGAGCAACTAAAAAGCACCTGGGAGGTCCAGGAGACAAAGCTGCAGTGGGACGTGGGACGGCTCCAGCGGCAAGTGGCACAGCAGGAGCGGGATATGCAGCTGGCCCTGGAGAGCCAGGCGCTGGCCCACCGTGAAGACCTGGCACGGCTCCAGAGGGAGAAGGTCAGCTTCCCTGTTGCTTCCTAGGAGTCTGTGTGTCCCAAAGAACGGCAGACACTTGAGGGAGGCGACCTAGGAGACCAGCCAGGAGATGTAGGTGCCCCGAGCACCCTGAGGTGGGGCCAGAGGAGGACTTTTCATAGTTCAAGTGGGCAGTCCGTGGCCATGGGGCCTGGAGCAGGTATGCAGGGTGGGTCCCCTCCCTCACCGGAGCGGCCAGCCCTGGATGTCAGCAGACCTGGCTGCAGTCTGGGACCTGTACCTGGAGGGAGCTTCATCACCCACCCGAGCCGTCCCCGGGTCACAGGCTCCTGCAGGCCTTGGTTAACATGTCTTTACACACCTTGCATGTCAGTGGTGCTTGGTGTACTGTGGAGGCTCAGGAAAGGTTTATGAACTGTCAGATAAAGGGGGGGTGGTGGGTGCTGAGGCCCAGAGAGCCCCTTTACAGCTCTTGCTTCAGTGTCACTGTGTATAAGACAAGGGGTGTGCAGCTGGTTGGACTGGACAATTCCTGGGGACCTGCCCTGCCCTGGCATCTCGTGAACTAGGTCTCACTCAGGACCAGGGGCACCTGCTGGTCTCACGTGTCCTGGCCTGTGCAGTCTTCACAGCCTGTCCCTTTGGCTTGGCCCAGGAGACCCTGAGTCTGTCTCTGACAGAGGAGAAGGAGGTGGCAGCACGCCGGTTGGAACAGGAGAAGGAGCTGTTGGCGAAAAGTGCAGCCAAGAGGGAGGTTCTGAAGGAGGAAATTCAGAGCCTGAAGCACGAGCGAGATGAGAGCCTCCTCCAACTGGAGCATGAGATGCAACAGGTGATGGAGGGACTGTGAGGCAGTGGAGAGTGCTCACATCCACCTCACCGTGCCTTCTCCGACCCAGCAAGAGGTCTGTGTGGGGGTAGCCCTTCAAGGTCACTGCTGTTGCAGCTTTGGTCTTCCACTGCAGACCTGGTGGACAGACATCCACCCACCTACCCATCCATCCATCCACCAATCCAACCATCCACCCACCCATCCATCCATCCTTCCATCCATACATCCATCTGTCTATCCACCCATCCATCATCCATCTATCCATGCATCTATCCATCCATCCACCCATCCATCATTCATCTATCCATCCATCCACCCATCCATCATCCATCTATCCATCCATCCATCAATTCACTCACCAATTCAACCATCCATCCATCTGCCCATTCATCCATCTATCCATCCATCTATCTATTCATCTGTTCATCCACCTGTCCACCCATCTATCCATTGCCCATTCATTTGTCTACCCATCCATCTGTCCATGCACTTGACTGTCTCTCCATTCACTTGTCCATCATCCATCCATTCGCTTGAATATCCATCCTATCCACACACCGAGCTGTCCACTCACCTACATGGCCATCTGTCCACATACCCAGTTGTCCATTCACCCACCTGACCATACACCTTTCCATCAATTTGCTTAAACATCCATCCAACTATCCATGCACCCAACCATCCATCCATATGACTATCCATCCAGTCATCTGACCATCCATCTATCCAATAATTCACTCAATCATCCATCCATCCATTTACTCAAACATCCTTCTATCTGTCTACCACTCAGCTGTCCATCCAGATCCACCATCCATTCACGTGTCTATCTATCCATCCACCTGATTAGCCAGCCAGTCGTTCATCAATGTATCCAACCATCAGCCAACCACCTGACCATCCTTCCAGCCCACAGGCTGTTGGGATCTAGACATTGGGCGTGTAAGAACTACCCTCCGAGTCCAGGCTCTTCCAATATACAGTGTCACCCTGAAACACTCACTGCTGAGTGAGGGGAACAGACAAGTGAACACATTCCTGTTTGTTGTCTCACAGTCTGATAGGTACACTTGGCACAGTAGTCCTCCCTTATCCATGGGGATACTTTCCAAGACCCCCAGTGGATGCCTGAAACCGTGGATAGTACTGAACCCTACGTATGCTGTGTTTTTCCCTATACATACATACCTGTGATAAAGTTTAATTTATAAATTAGGCACAGTAAGAGATTAATAACAATAACTACTAATATAGTTGGCTTTGGGGTCATTATTAAGTAAAATGAGGGTGACTTGAACACAGGCACTGTGATACCGCAGCAGTCGATCTGGTAACCGAGACCGCTACAAAGTGACAACAGGTGGGTAGCACGAACAGTGTGGATCTGCTGGACAGAGGGTTGTTTCACATCCCAGGCAGGATGGAACGTGATGGTTCGAGATTTTGTCACACTGCTCAGAACAGCATGCGATTTAAAACTTATGAATTGTTTATCTGGAATTTTCCACTTAATATTTTCAGACCTTGGTTGACCACGGGTAACTGAAACCATGAAAAGCAAAACCACAGATAAGGGGGGACTACTGTACAAGTTGCAATTGCAGGGGAGGGATTACAGTGGCAGGATTATTTTTTACAGTAATTATAGTAATTACAGTAACTAAGGCTTGTTGTCAGACTCTGCATTTCCCCATTTTACTGGAGAGAAAACTAAGGCTCACAGGTGGGGGGCGCCTCACCCAGGGTTGCATGGTGCACCTGCTCTGAGCTGCTCCCCTCTTCTGCCTCCTCACTGTTCATGGACGGGGAGGAAGCAAAGGCTTTTCTTGGCAGCATTTGGGGGGTGAGGCCTTGAAGAAGGAGCAGGCGCTTGTCGGGTAGAGAGGGGAAAGGTATTCGCGGAACGTCTGGAGATGGCTCAGTGTCCTGCCAGACCTTCACAGCGCCTCAGCTTCAACCGTCTGCTAGAATGACTCACAGAACTCAGAAAGTGCTATGCTTACAATCACAGTTTTATTACAAAGGACACAAATCAGGACCAGCAAAAGAGACACATGGGGTGAGATCCCTCCCCATGGTACCAGGGTGTGTCACCCTCCCAGCTCATCAGTGTGTCCATAACTGGGAAGCTCCGGGGTTCTGATTGGGGTTTCCTCATGTGGGCATGATTGATGGAATCACTGGCCATGTGGCAGAACTCAGTCCCCCACTCCAGAGACCGATCTCCGTGACGCACAGCCCCAGTGCTCTGAACACGTGGTTGATCTTTCCAGCATGGCTGGCACAGTGGCTTCGTTAGCACAAGCTCAGGTTTGGTCCCATGGGCCCATGAGTAACAAACACACCTCCATCTTTATAACAGAGTGTGGAAAGTCCACATGATGCTCTAGGCCTTTCTTTTCTCGGGATCAGTGTATCTTGGAGGTCTTTCCACATCTGTGTATTTAGAGCTTGGTTATTCTTTTTCACAACTGCGTAATGTCCTAATGGGGGCACAGATCATCATTGGTCTTGTTGGCCTCCCATCGGTGGACATCTGGGTTGTTTCTAGTCTTGTTGCTGTTCTAACTAAAGTTATAAACCACAACTGATGACCCAGGTGTAGGGCATCCCGCACACGTGCGCGCATGTCTCCGGGCTGCCTTTGCCAATGGGCCTGGGCGTACAGAGAATATGCATTTGTGACTTTGATAGACATGGCCAAATTCCTTCCCCCTTCCACAGCCCAGCCCACAGAGCAGCATTCGCTCCCCTCTGGGGGCTGGTGGGCGAAACGCAGGCTCTCTGGGCGCTGAAGTGCACCCTCACCCTTAGGGACGTGGGCTGTTTTGGAAGTTAAGGACCATTGGTGGTTCCTGCTCTGAGCTCTGGAGGAAGCGTTGCCTGGAGGGATGAGGGGCTCCGGGGAGGGAGTAGGTGGTCTGTGCTCTGCACTGAGAGAGCTGGTGTTGGATGGGTAGGGGATGGGGCAGGGGAAAGGCAGGGCCTCAGGTAGGGGAACTGCCTGAGCTCAGGCTCGGAGGCTGGACCATGTTGGATGAGGGTGAAAGGGCCCCCTGCCCCCGCTCGGGCCCTGGGCTGCATCCCCAGAGTAGGGATGTGGAGCTGGGAATACGCTGCCTCCAAGCAGGGGCTCTAGCACCCAGCATCATGTGGCAGCCTCTCCTAAAAGAGTCCCCTAACCCTCTCACAAGCACCCCACCCCTGTCACGCCCAGGCCCTGTCTCTGAAAGAAGCAGAGAGGAGCCTGCTGCGGGAGGAGCTCTCCAGGGCCACATGGGAGCTGGAGCGGCTGCAGCAGGAGGCCCAGAGCCGGGAGGAGCAAGCCGAGGTGAGCCCCGTGCACCGCTAGACCAGGGACTGGGCACCCAGCCTGGCTGCCTGCACTGCCCAGCAGGCACTGGCTGACCCCCAGAGGCACCCCTTCCTGCCTCGTCTCAGGGACCATCCCCCTCCGTCCTCGCCCCCCTGAGCCTCAGTTTCCCCTAGGAACCTCCGGGCCCCCCACTGGGAGGGGACACTGTCTCGATAGGAAGGGAAAGCCAAGTGAACCACAGCTGGGGGTGGCAGAGTGCTGCAGGGGCCAGTCCTGCCCACCATGGCAGGCCACAGGCGTGGGCACTCTATAGGCCCAGTTCTCACTCACCCTCGGGTAGAGCAAAGGCCAGAGAGGGGAGGGCCTGGGGCTGCACATGAGCCTGCAGCCCAAGGTGCAGAACTCAGCCTGTGCCCCCAGCCCCGCCAGCCCCCGCCTCACCTGTCTGTGCCCTTGAGCAGCTCATGATAAAGGATAACTGCAGAAAAATGTGCACGATGCCCCCTGGGGCTGGCTCTCTGGAGAGTTCCCTTCCAAAGGAGAAAGCAAATGGGGGAAGCCGGCATTTTACCCACAGCAAACCCGGACGGGGAAGGACACCCACAGAGAATCCCGAGCAGGGTGGGAGGGGACCGCAGCAGGCAGCTGCCTGCCCTCGGCCAGCAGGCAGAGGCCCACTTATGCACAGAGAGTGCTTGGGGCAGCCAGCTGCGGTCACCTGGGGCCCCTGACTCCTCACCAGGAGCCATGCATGGGGGGCAGGGCAGCAGCAGCAACTTGGACTCTGGGGAGCGGAGGGGTGACCCTGGAGGCTGGGCACCCACTCCTGTCACTGGCAGAGTGGCCTTGACCCACTTACGAAGTGATGCCCAGCCCTGTGTGGGTGACGTGGAGACAAGGGCCCTGCTCCCAGGAGGAGGTGACCAGATCAAGGTGGCAGGGCACAGATGGAGAGCTCAGGGAGCTGGAGGAGGGGTCAGAACGGCTGCCCGGTGGGGCTGGCGGTGAGTGGAGACAGGCTGGGTGTGTGCCCTGGGCAGGGAGAGAACAGCCTCGAGTCACAGTGGGGGTGGCGTAGGGGCACGGCTCCCCACCCTGCAGGGAGCGTGGTCAAGGGTGGGCAGAACCCTGCAACCCCCCTCCCCAGGGCTCTGGCCTGTGCTCCACCCCGTCCAGCCACAGCCATTCAGCTGGGCCAGCACGTGGTCCTCTCTGCCCACTGCCTTCATCCTTCTAGCCGTCTTCACCTTCCCTGACAGTGCTGCACCTTCATTTTAATCCCGGAGGCCCTTTTCCACCCTGGTCCCTGGTGTGTCCCCAGCCCCCAGGGCACAGGGTTAGCGGCTCCGCTGGTGTTGAATGAATGACTCAGTGAATGAGCGCAGGGACTGCCGTGCCAGGCCCAGGGCTTCCTTCCATGACCCCTCGCAATCGGGAACAGTTCTTGCTGACTGCAGGGGGCCGAGCAGGGCGGCAGGAGGGAGGAGAAGGCCTCTTGGCTGGGGGCGGGGATGCCGAGACAGCAGGGCCTCGGGGAGGCGGCGGATCCCTCTGACCTGCTGGGCCCCGGGAGGGAGCTCTGGGCCGTGGAAAAGAGTGTTGCAATCAGGAGCCGGCTGCCAGGGTGCTTCTTGCCCCTTCCTGCCTGACGTGGCAGCCAGATCCCCCGTCCCTCTGAGCAGAGCAGCCTGGAGGAGCTGCTGGCACCCAGGGAAGTCTTGCCCAAGAGCCTCGCTCCTTGGAGCCCCACTCCCAAGGCCCGATAGCCCGTCCAGCGGCACAGCCGGGAGGGGTGTGGAGGGCCCCGTGGCATTGTGCCCTCTCTCCTCCAGATCCCTGCTTAGCTGCTCCCTTGGCCCCACCCTGTCAGCAGGGGACCAGAAAGACCCCACCTCCCACCCCACCCCAGACCCTGGGAGCTGACATCCCTGCTCTCAGGGGGGCCTCCCTGGGAGCCTTCCCTCCCGCTGGCTGAGTCTCCCCCTGCACTGGGGATGGCCTGCCAGCCAGCAGGGCTCTTCAGGGAGCACATTAAGGGTTCATTTGCCACCTCGGCTTGGAAAATGGAAATTAAAACCCACTGAGAGGGGAGGGAGGGGAGAAATGCCAGCCAAGGAACACCAGTTGTGGGATGACATCAGAAGCCCCCCGGTGGGTGGAGAGGCCCTCCGGGCTGAGTCACTGCTGTCTCTGGGACTCCAGGCCTGTGCCCTGTCGCCCACCATCCTTGCAGGGGTGTATCGATCAACCAGCTGCACTGGGCACCCACCGCTGCACTGGGGCTGTCCTGGGGCACAGCCATGACCTGGCAGTCCAAGGTGATGCCTGTCAGTGGAGACATCAGGGGCTGGGGACAAGGAGGGACCTCAAGGTTCCTTCACCAAGAGCAGGAGGCACAGCCTGATGGAGCCGCAGCCCAGCAGGGCCCTTGGACAGCAGCCTGCAGAATCCCAGTGGGTGGGAGTAGGGGGTCTCCCGGAGACATGGGCACCCATGCCTCCCTGGGCACCCATGCCTCCCTGGGCACAAAACCAGCTCCATCCTCCACCCACTGAGGAAACCGCCACCCCAGGGCCTAGACCACCCAGGGGCTGGGATGGGGGGAGGGGGAGGGTCCTGGCAGAGGTCAGGCTGGGTCAGGTGTCGTCCTCGTTCATGGACAACGAGGCACTGCAAGAACGCTGCACCGAGCCTGGGGTCCGGAGGACCCTCACCTCCTCCAAGCTCCTGTCCGTTAGTGGTGGAGGAGGGTCTTGGGCTCTGTGGCCACAGGAAAGAAGATTTGGGGCGGCCAAGTCCCGAATGGATGTCTAAGCTGCCAGAGCGTGGCCGCATGGTTCCCGCGGGGACGGCCCTGCCCGAGGGGTGAGGGCAGAACCCCGTGGCGCCGTCCTAGGCATTTCCTTACGTGGGTACTCACACGTTTAGAGCCGGCGGGGACCATGGGCATCCCCTAATCCCACCTGCCTGTTCCAAAGTTCGGGATACCAAGGGCCAGGCTGACCGAGAGGTTCCCGTGGTCTCCTGGACTAGGCAGACAGGGCCAATCCTTGGACCCAGCTGTCCCCTTCCCTGGCCACTGCCACATCTCCTGAGCTGGGTCAGGCCTTTCTCTCCCTACATTGATGGGCAGGCCCGCAAAGAGGGGGACCAGAGGCACCTCTTCTGGGAAGGGCGAACCTCCTTGCCCTGACCACAGCGGATGCCGCAGGCCATGGGGCCACAGGACCTGGGGTGCTCCTCCTGTGCCCAGCAAGCCCGCGAGGGCAGAGGCTCAGCCCCAAGCACATAGGCGAGAAAACTGGCCCCACTGCTAGGCTGAAGGAGTCCCAAATCCAGAGTCATTTGCAAACAGGACCTTTTCTCGTTTGCCAGATGGCCACTCTCGGCCCTTACCACTCAGCAGAGTGGACGACAGCAGTGTTTTAGGCAGGAAAGGTCAGTGCTTGAGTCCTCCGCCCAGGCCCCTGCTCTTCAGCCTGCCCTGGCCTGGCAGCCTGGGGGTCAGAGAAGAGGCTCAGGGGCACAGGGTCAGCCCTTACCCATGGGGGGTGCTCCCCTCTGGGGCCTCTGCCCCTACCCTTTGCCACTGTGTGCCCTCAGGACCTGGCATGGGTGGTGTTGGCAGTGATGAGCACAGCATGGGGACCCTGGCCTGGAGCCCCTAGGCCTGGCTCTGGCCCCTGCCCATCTTATGCGGCCTGAGCAAGCAGCCCATTGGTCCCAGGACAGCAAGTGGCTGCTGGTGTGGGCCTGAGCACACTGCCAGCTGCCTGTGCCTTGGGCGGCCCCTTGATGCCGTGGCCAGCTTACTGCTCTCCACAGGCCACCATCAGTGCCACGACTGCAGAGCTGAAGGCCCTGCAGGCCCAGTTTGAGGACGCCATCTCGGCCCATCAAACAGAGGCTGCGGCTCTGAGCAAGAGTCTCCGGGAGATGGCGGCAGAGCGAAGCAACGCAGGGAGAGAGGTGAGGGGCAGTGCCGGGGGCTGGTGCCAGGAGAGAGGGGAGAGAAGGCCTTCCTGAGAGCCAGGGGTGACCTGGGGGGTGCAGAGGGGGAAGCTGGACTCTCAGCCCAGAGACCCCTCCATCCTACAAGCCGTGAGAAGACCCTAGGCGAGGGGGTGCTCTGCCAGCACACAGCAGGAGGCATGGACTCCGTGGGACAGGGCACTGGGGTGGGTGAGGCCACCTGGAGGGGTCTAGGGTCGAGGGGCAGGAGGAGCAGTGCAGGGGTTGAACGGGGCTTTCAGGGGTAGCCATGCATGGGCCTGGCCGAGGCCCCAAGGTTGACACAGGGGCCCCCAGGAGCCACGTGATGGTGTCCTGGGGTGGGGGACAGTCTGGGGCAGGGCAAGCAGGAGAGGCCCCAGCTAGGGCGGGCCAGGGCTCAGCAGGCAGGCAGACTGGGGAGGTGTTTCTGAGGTCGATTTGACAGGACTTGGATGCCTGGGAGGGGGGAGGGCAGGAGATCTTGGGGGTTTGGGTTGGGGGGAGGGTAAGCTGGCGCCCAGGTGGGGCCCACGGGGACAAGGCAGCCTCGTGCATTCCCCGGGCCGTGTGCCAAGGCTGGCAGGCGGGCGCTGACCCGGCGCTCATGCACCAGGCCTCCGAGGCAGCGGCCGAGTGAGAGGGGGCTCGGCCCTCCCCGGCACCCCCGAGGGGCAGGCCGAGAATGGGCCCCAGAGAGGAAGGGAGCGTGATTTAACATGACAGGCTGTTTACTTTGGCCCCCAAAGAGAAAGGTCTCCTTTCAACAGATTTCAAAGTCAGGCCCGGTCAGCGACCACACGGGGAAGCAAAATGAGATTTTAAAACTGGGGGCAGTAGGGGGAGGAGCTGGGGAGACTGGGGGGCGCATTTGTTCTGGCAGGGTGAAGGAAAAAAGCACCGGCTTCGCGAGAAGTTCAGGTCTTGAAGAGGGGCCCCCACAAAAGAGAGGGGGCCCCAGAAAGAAGAAGGGGCCCCCAGAAAGAGAGTGGGGGGGGATGGGGAGGCTGAGGGGGGCAAGAGGAGCAATCACAGAGAGAAGCGCCACAGAAGAACCCTCCCAGGCGCCAGGCTGGCCCAGGGTCGCCATGGATACCATAACGTGTTCACAGCCTTCAAACGGGAGGAACGTCCAGGCCTCTCACAGCCCTGCCTGAGGTCCACATGTGTGTGCATGCATGGTTCACACACATGCACACGCTCACATGCACACATACACCCCCTGGGCACATGGAGACCACACACACCCATACAAACACATATGCACCCAAAGTGACAGTGCACACATGCACGTACACACATGCACACCCCAGGCACTCACGTGTGGACACAACATTCACACACGTAAACACATATGGACACCGTAAAGTGCACACAAACGTGCAAGAAGCAGCACATGCAACTCCATGCATACATGCACGCACATGCATCATACGCACATGTGAACGGACACGTGTGCCCACATGTCTGCACAAGCACACGTGCAGGTGCACACACCACACGCTCACATGTGTTCATACGCACACCAAGTGTACACATGTGTACACTCACACGTGCATGCACACGCTTGAACACGTACACGTGCAGGCCAGGGCCCCACAGCCACACCTCCCCCTTCCCCTCCTGCTGCCTCCTCTCTTCAGGGCCCTCAGCCGCCTCCCTGCAGGAGATTTCAAAAGAGGCTGTTTATACAATTTCTAGTAAAGAAATAATTATTATAATCACATTAAGCGATTTGGCTGTAAAATTCCTGTAAAAGGGATGGTTGTTCTCATGAGGCATAGGGAGGTGCGGGAGGGGGGCCCTCCCCCACGTTTGTTTTGCTTGTTTTCATCTCCCCTGCCCTGGGAAATGAAAACAGTTCTTCTGTGATGGATCGGCCCCTTCGCTGGTCCTCGACCTTCTGGGCGGATTTCTGCTGAGCTTGGCGGAAAATGCTCGGGACGGCTGTGGCTCCACATGTGGGGGGTGGGGAGGGGAGTGGAGGGGGCTCGGGCCCTTCCCAAAAACAGAACAACAATAACAGCGGGTGGACGCAGGAGCCAGGCCGGCCAGGGATCTGGACGATGTCCCATTGAAACAGCCAGCAAAGTGGGGTTTGCTTTTGGCAAACCAGCGCCTTGACATTGCTCAGAGTTTTTGTGGCTTCCCCTCTCTGGGCATGGCCCTGCTGGCTTCTTCCACCTCCTCAGGGACACGCGAGCTGGAATGGAGCCTTCTCCAGAGTGGCCTGGTCAGGGCCAGTGCGCCGGCCTGGGAGGCAGGAGACCAGGGGTCCTGGCTGACACCTGGCGCGCTCCACCCCAGAGCCTGGGTGCTGAGGGTGGGCTGCCCGTTCCCCAGGTCTGCACCCTCCTCCGGATCCTCCCACCAGGGGCTGAGCCCTGAGGCCTTGAGGCATCTTGTGTCCCAGGGCAAATAGGACCCCTGACCCCCTCCCATACTTCGCGCAGGCTCAGCTTTTGTGCCTCGCAAAACCAGAGAGCCAGCAGGCCTGCCTGGAAGCCCCCGGAGGTGAGGAGGGCCCTGGTGCCTGGGAGGACACGGGTCCTGGTTCCAGCATGGTGGGTGTCCCGCTCTGGGCCGGAGCTGGTCTGGCAGGGCCGAGGACTCACCCCTGAAGCTCTCCACACAGGTCTGGAGCGGCCGGAGGCCAGGGTGGGCTTGCAGCGTGCGGTTCTCACTGGCTCCAGAGCCTTCCCACCTTAGGCCTCTGCTGAGTGCCCCCCTCGGGTTTGGGGGGGCCCACACTTCCGTGGAGTGCCTCACGGAGCGCTCCTGTGACAGCGAGAACTTCCTGCCCGAGCAGCTGGACAGCCTGGCCCGAGAGGGCCCCAGCGCTGCTGGAGGACTCTGAGGGTGCAGACGCCCAGAGACCCTCCCTCCCCACTGCCTCCCGTCCCGACAGGGAGAGGGCGCTGCAGGAGTGGCTGTGCCCATGACGGTGCAGGGTCAGGAGGCTGACCACTGGTGCTGCTGCCCACACCAGGGCAGCAGTGGCCCCGGGTGCCACACCATTATTGAAGGAGAGGACTGGGTACCCGGAGGTAGCAGGTGGGGAGGGCTGTCAGGCAGTGGCGGCTGGACCAGGGTGGGGACATTGCAGACATGTGGGCAGAGCCGTGCCCCACACATGCCCTGCTGACCGGTGGCCAGGGTCCAGGGAGGGAGAGCAAGGCAAATTCAGGGTCAGGAGGAGTCTGGATGTCACCTGCCGGGGTTCTGGGACCGGCCCTCATGAGCTTCCCTGCAACCTCAGCGGTCGTAGGGGAGGTGACCACGGGTGGGCAAAGGCAGGTATCTGCTTCTCCCTCAAGCACTTGGGGACCCAAGCCTAGGGGGACACCGGCGCTGCCAGACCAAAGCCAGATTCTGCATGCTGCCTGGGGCTGTCCCTCGAGCAGCAGCATCTGACCCATGACCCCTGACCCCCAACCCACGGCCCCTGACCACCCCCGGCCTGTGGCCCCAGCTGGCCCCACAGCCACACACTCCTCCCTCAGGCCGAGAGGCTGCGGGCACAGCTGGAGGAGGCACAGGAGGGGCTGGCCGCGCTGCGCCAGGAGCTGCAGGGCAGCGAGGAGAGCCGCGAGGGGCTGCGCCGGGAGGCCCTGGAGGCCCGGCAGGCACTGGGCGACGAGACCCGCGAGAAGGACGTGCTGCAGCTCTCTAACGCCGAGCTGCGGGCTGCCGTCCGCAGGGCTGAGCAGGAGAAGGCCAGGTATGGCGGCCGCCCTGTGGAGCCACTGTTGGGGAGCCCTCCCAGACCCGCAGCTCACCCAGGGCCATGCGTGGTGAGGACCGGGGGCAAAGCCAGTGGGATGTGGCATATCCTGTTGGGCTGGGCCAGACAATAGTGGGGTGGATGCACCAGGCAGAGCCACGTGCCACCTGCCCGTCCAGAGGGTCAACAGTGCTGGCCCATGATGGGGAAGGCTGGGGCACAGACAGACCTCTCCCTGGCCTCAGGGAGGTCCCATCCAGCAGGAAGACAGGCCCCAAGAGGCCAGCAGGAGATGGCCAAGGGCTGGGGAGCAGGGGGGCCTGGTCAGGGGCTCTAGGAGGACCCCTGTGGGAGGGACAACCAGGCCGGAGCTGCAGCCCTCACAGGGGGGCAGCAGAGGTGCCAGGCTGGCCCTGGTCCTCGGGCCTCTGGGAGTGTGGCTGGAGGGAGGCAGTGTGGCAGGGTGGGGGGTCAGGAGAGGGGCTGGAGACATGTCTAGGGGCCAGGCCAGCTGGGCCCTTGGACCCAAGGTCATTGGCAGCCCCAGGGAGGCTGGGCTTTGGGACTCAGAAGAGTCAAGACATGGGGACCACCTCCTAGACTGAGGTGGGCGGCCCGACCGTCACCACGGCAGATGCTGGAGCCCCAAGCGGCTCCCTGGGCCCCAGTCTGTGACACTCTGCTCAGTTTTAAGCGTTCCAAGGACGAGAAGGAGCAGAAGGTGCTGGTCCTGGAGGAGGCCCAAGCCGCGGCTCAGAAGCAGGCGGGCGAGCTGCGGGCCAGCCTGCGGGAGGCGGAGCAGGCGCGTGGGGAGGCCCGCCGGGAGCTCCAGGAGCTCTGCAGACAGGTGAGGGAGCCGTGCCGGAGCCCCGCGCCTCCCAGACATGTCCCCCGCCTTGGCCCCTGTCTCCAGGCCCCCCCCAAGGCACCCACGGGGCTGCAGAGCAGGAGCCCCAGACCTGGCCTCTCTGCCTGTGCCTTTGGAACATGCTGTCCCAGACTTGGAGCCACCAGCAGAAGGGCCTGCTTGGACTCCTGGTTGGGTTCCTGGTTGGATTCCTGGTTGGGTTCCTGGTTCAGTCTGCTCTGGGGGGCACAGGTGACAAGCCTCGAAGTCAATGGCTTAAAACAACCATGTGGATGCTCATGAACTCTGAGGGTCAGAAATTCAGCCAGGCGCCGAGGGAACAGCTTGGCCACGCCCCACTGCGCGCACACCAGGCCCCCCGAGAAGACTCCATGCGGGGCCTCCATGGCGGGGCTGCACACTGCTGGAGGCCTCTTCTCTGGGGTCCGGTGGCTGCTGCTGGCTCTCAGCCGCGGCACCTCCCATGTCCCCGAGTGACCTGGGCTTCCTCCAAGCGTGGGCCACCTTAGGGCTCAGGGTGTACAGGTGCGTGCTCCTTTCTCTGCCTCAGTTTCCCGTGTCAGGGGCCACTTACACTGAATTCCTTCTGTGTAAAGCCCACTCAGGGTAGGGGCCAGACTTCCCCTCGCAAAGGGAGGCACATGGGAGCATTTGAGCCATTTTTGTCAGGTTCTTTCAGACAGCTCGGTCAGTAAAACGTCTCCTGCGGGAACAGGCACCTTTCATCCCACTCCCTCCGCACCGGGCAGTCTGCACACATCTCCCTAGTTTGATCCTCATGAGAAAGCCATCCCATGAGGAAGGTTCTAGAACCTTCCATTCCAGACGAGCACACTGAGGCACAGAAAGGCTAAGTGGTCAGACCAGGGTCCCTGCAAGTGAGAGCCAGAAATTGACCTCAGAGTCCAACCCGGATCCCCACCCACGCTCCCTAATCAGCAGCCCCGCCCCCCAGCCCGGGAGCACTCCACCACTGCCTGGGCTCCAAGCTCTACAGAGTGTCCTGGCCCCAGAGAGGAGGCGCCAGGCGTGTCTGTGGAGTGGCTCAGGGAGGCAGCTCCGAGCGTGTGGTCTGGTGGGGGGGCATCACCTGCCCCCCACCCAGAACTGGATTTAGCCTGAGCCTCCCCAAGGGCAGTGAGCTGCCTGGGAGAGAAGCTCCCTCCCCAGGACATGTGAGCGGAGGCAGGGGTCAGGAAAGGCCCAGTGGCCACTGGACCCCTCCCAGCACAGAGGCCCAGGTAACCCCATCAGTGCAGCCCTCGACTCCCAGGTGAAGACGCTGGAGGCGGAGAACCGCAGGAGGAGCCAGGAGGTGAGCCGTCTGCAGGCCCGGGTCGCACAGGATGCTCAGCGGCAGCAGCAGAGTCGGCAGGAGGCACTGGAGCTGCAGAGGCAGGTGGCCGAGGGGGAGGCCGCCCAGAAGGAGGTAGGAGGCTGAAGGAACTCTGGAGGGGACGGCCGAGGCGGCTGGCGCGGTGAGAGCCTCGGGACTGAGGTCCAGCTGCCCCAGGCTGCCCTCTCACCCACGTGCGCTCTGCGGGTCTGTCTGCTCTCTGAGGGTGGAGGGGGAGGGGACTCTGGCTGAACTCACCTGGCTGACGTGGTAACCCTCCCTGCGTTTCCCAGGGGTCTCGTGTTTTAGAAAAGGACGGGGTCTCGCCCAGGTGCAGAGAGAGCTCTGAGCCTGAGGAGAGGCAGAGGGCCCCGAAATGACTAATTCTCCAAGATCCTCAGGACCCTGAGTTCACACCTACACCCAGGCCTGCACTCGTGTGTCCCCTCGGCCCTGACATGTGCACACACACTTGCACATGCACACACTCTCTGTGAGCTCTCTCTCAATGCCTGCACACGTGTCCCCACGCCCCCAACGCACACACACACGCACCCATCTCCCCCCACACCTGCACCCACAGCCCCCACGCCAGCTCGAAAGACCTTCTGTTCTGTCCTCGGCCTGCTCCTCCAGTTCTGTATGCTGCAAGGCTGTGCTGCACGTGGCCAGGTGGCCTCAGACCCACACACACACAGCCTGAGGAGGCTGCCCCGGGCCTTGGGCTGCATGGGGTCCCTGGTTCAGACCCAAAGTCAGGCACAGAGTGGCTGCCTCGAGCACTCGCCATGCAGGGAAAACATGCGTGCACCTGCATGGCCACGTGACCCCTGTGTGACCTCGCCGCCCCTCACCTCCCTCTGTGAATGGAGTGGTTATACTGTGGCCACCCAGGGAGGGAGACAGACGAGGCCGTCCTGGCAGCCCAGGGGTAACCCTCTGACGGGGGCTCCTCGGCCTCCAGCTGAGGGCTGGGCTGTCTCCTCCCCAGCCTGTGCATCCCCTGAGGGGTGGCGGTGTCCCCGTGTGCACTCCCGTCCACTCACAAGCATTGAGAGGGCTCTTTCTGTGAGTAGGGATGCTGTCCTGGGGGCTGGGGACACGTTGGGCCGTGGCCAGGTGCAATAGCAGAAGGGTGGCCTAATTGGGGATGATGAGAGGGGCTGCTGCTAAGGGGCCGAGGGTCAGGGAAGGCCCCTCTGCACCCAGGCCAAGCCCCCAAGAGAAGGGATGGGAGCATGGGGAGCGGGGGCTTCCAAGGGGCTGGAGTGAAGCCACAAAGGAGAAGGGTGGCCCAGGCCAAGGGAGGCAAGAGAATGACCCCCCAGAGCTCACTGCCCCCCCCCCCCCCCAGCCCTTGTGTGTTTTGTGCTGGGCTGGAAATACTTGGTCTTTCTGCGGTCACCTACTTGGAAGCCTAGGGCGGGGTGTGGATCAGGCCCTCGGTGGTTCCCCACCCCTGGACTCAGGATGGCGCTGACCCAGCCTTGCTCCCACAGGCCCTGCCATGGCAGGCAAGCCTGGGGCTGGCTGGGGTGGGGGTTCCCTGGCAAGCCATAGGAGGGGCAGCCTGGGCCATGGCCCTGCCTGTCTGGGGTCTTCATGTGGCTGCCAGTGGGGCTCTCTGCTGCCTGCCAGGATGTGCCCCATGATCCTGGAGTGTCCTTCCCCCGCTGAGCACAGGTGTCCCCACTGCCAAACCTGAACTGGGAGGAAGGTCCAAGGTCCCCCCAGCTGTGATATGCCGAGGACGGGGTGAGGCTGAAAGGCAGGGGCGGGGTCTTCAGAGGCGGACAGGCCTGGGACGAGGCCTGTCTGAGCCCCTCAGGTCCCTCCTACAGGTCCTGAGGCTGCAGCGAAAGCTGGCGGAGGTAGAGGCAGGAGGGGAGGCCCGGGAGAGGCAGCTGGAGGAGCGCCTCCACGAGAGCCGGGGCACCGAGCAGAGCCTGCGGGCTGAGCTCCGCGGCGTCACCGGGCAGCTGCAGCAGGCCGGTGGTGTGGCTGACAGCCTCCGGACTCGCCTGGATGAAGCCTGCCGCCGGGTCCACAGCCTGGAGCAGCAGCTGGCCCACACCGAGGGCGCCAGGCAGGATGCAGAGAGCCAGCTGGGCCGGCTGTGGTCCACGCTCCGCCGCGGCCTGGGGTTGGGGGCACGGAGCCCCTCCACCTCCCCTGAGCGGCCTGGCTCCCCCACCAAAGGTCAGTGTCCTCAGCATCCGGTGGGCTCCTATCCCAGTTCTGCCACCCTCCTGGGGCCCTCCCATCGGTCCCTGGGCCTCATAGTGAAGGGCTTGGACCCTGTGCTCCCCATAAGCTCCCTGTGGGTGGGGACAGCAGAGAGAAAGGGAGAGAGGGCACCTGCATGTCTGTCGCCAAGTCCCCACCATGTCCCCTCGGCTGTCACTGTCCCGCAGGCTCAGATGGCTCTGAGGGTCACTCTGGGCGGCACAGTGCCAGCTCCCCCACCAGGTCCCGCTCGCCCCTCCCATGGCCCTCGCCTGCACCCAGAGACCACGGCCCAGAGGTGGACGTGGCCTCTGTGCGGGACACGCTGAGAGACTTTGTGCAGAAGCTGCGGGACGCCCAGCGGGAGCGGGTAAGGGGGCTGGGAGGACACGCCCTGGGGGCTCCAGGAGACAGGGAGACGCCCCTCCCTCAGTCTGCTGTCCCTCTGTCCATCCATCCCACGTCTCCTGAGACCCTGGCAGAGCCCTATGGGTCCCTGGGTACCTCAGTGTCCAGACTGTCCTTGGTTTGGTGTGAGAAATAGCAGTAAATACCACCATCAGTCAAAACCCAGTTACCCCAAATGTCTGGGGGCCACCTCCCCTCCTTAGACAGGGCAGCAGAGCCCCTGGAGCCAGGCCCACGGGGTGCAGGTCAGGGCGTTCCATCCCCACACGCATCCCCTGAAGAACCATCCCAGGGGCTGGCCAGGTCACTCGTTGTCCCCACTGACCCCTCCTACAGGGGACCGAGCTCCCCACAGCTGCTCATGAGTGCCCCCCATCCTGCCACCCCAGGGCACCCCAGGCTGCCTGTGGGCTGCCCCTGCCCCACTGGCCAGGTGGGAGGGGCTGCGGGGAGAGACAGACGGACAGTCACTCAGCCCCGGTCCTGGCCAGGGGGCAGTCCCTGCAGGTCACCCTGATCCCACAGGCTTTGGGCCACCACATGCCCTGCTCCCCACCCTATGTGCATACCCCAAACCTGCCCACTCGGGCCCAGCCCACACCACAGCCCCTCCGTGCCCTTCCCAGCGCTTGTCGGTCAACTCAGCTGCCCCACATGGCCCGGCCTTCCCTGCAGCCCACAGCCCACCCGCCCCACTGCCCTGTCCTGCGTATCCACAAGCTGCCCCTCCACCCCCTAACTCCTCGGCCCTCCGCTCACCCCCGGGCTGCCCTCTGAGCTTGGCCCCTCCGCCCAGGACAACTGGCGCCTCCAGGTGGCCAGCCTGAGCAGCCGGCTGAGTGAGGCGGAGAGCGAGCGCGCCCGAGCCCAGAGCCGCATGCGGCAGCTGCAGAAGGCGCTGGCTGAAGCGGAGGAAGGTGACCGCCCTTCCCCACCCTGCCCTGGGGACTGGCTGTGATGGGGTCCCCCAGATCGCCCCACTCCTGGCCACCATGAGGGCTCAGTCCTGGGAGGTGCTCAGGCCAGGGCCACAGGGACAACACCAAACAGCTCCCTCCCCGAGGCACATCCTGCACTTGGTGGCCAGTGGGTGGTCTCAGCAGTGGCCTCCCCATCATAAGAAATAAAGGCCAGAGACCTCACAAGGCCCCACCTGATCCAGCCCGCAGCCCCTCCTGCCACTAGGGCCTCCTGCTGTTCCCACCCCAGGGCCTTTGCACTGGCTGTGCCCACTGCCTGGACCCCTCTTCCTCAGACAGTCCCGAAGCCCTTCCCCCCCGTCAGGGCTAAGCCTCATGTCACTTCCTCAGAGAAGCTCCTTGCCCTGCTGGTCATCCGCATCTCATTTCTGTCCCCTTCCCCCATTAGCGGGTCAGCCCAGGAGGCAAGTACAGGGCCTGTCGCAGAGTTCCAGGGAGGAATGTCTGTGGAAGGAAAGGAGGTGGGAGAGAAGGATGGGCAGAGGCAGGGGTCTGGAGTCCAGGCAGAGGGAGCTGGGACCCCAGACTCGCCCCAGGGACCTGGAGCTTCGAGGAGGGAGGAGCAGGGGATTGTCAGAGTGGGTGCCGGTCACTTAAACTCACCGAGCCTCAGTTTCCCGGTCCGTGAAATGGGAGGGGGCGCAGAGCTTGGGAGCCAGTGAGCTGCCCCACGTGCCCCGCAGGCTGGCGCCAGGCGGAGGGCGAGACGAGCCGCGCCCGGGCCGCGCAGGCCCTGCAGGAGGAGGCGCTCCAGAGGCTGCAGACAGAGCACCTGGCGAGCAAGCGGGCAGCTGGCTGGGAGCGGCGGCGGCTCCAGGTGGGCGGGGGGGGGGGGGGGTGTTTGGGGGGAGCGGGACACGGCCCCCCCACATCCCAGGGCAGGGAGGCGGGAGGGAGGAGGCCGAGAGGGCTTTGGGGCCAGGCTAGGCTTCAGGTACCTCTGGAACAGGCAGCCTCGAGGGACATTGGGTCCCACAGAGCTCATCAGGGCCGTCCCTCACAGAACTGTCTCTGAAGTGGTCCTAGCCCTTATCTTACAGGTTGGGGAAACCGAGTCCTGGACAGGGAGCAACTCGGCCTGGGTGGCAGAGCCTGCGAGGCGCAGAGCTGGGGCCAACCTCTGGCCTCCCGTCTGTCCTTCTTTCTGTGGCCACACTGGCAGGCATAGGGTGACACTGGCCTCACCTTGGAGCTCTCTGTGGGGTCACATTTATGCTGCCGCAGGGCCATTCTTTATTCTGTGTCGCCCGGACTTGGAAGGAGGTTGCACAGTATGAACTTGGGTAACTGTCCCCAAGCGTGGACTTTGTGTCGTGAAGGTGACCTTGGGGGCCACAGTTTTCAGGTAAGAAATCTGGGCCCAGGGGTAGGGGCCAGGCCTGGATGGACAGGGGTCGGCTCACAGGGAGCCCTGTGCCCCACCCCCAGGCCCAGAGGCCAAAGCTGAAGCTCCTTGAGGACCTGGGAGGCTTGGGGAGCAGTGTGCCCGGCAGGAGGAACACTGGCCCCCCCAGGAGGCCACCCCAGGTGTCGGGGAATCAGGGGCCTGGGTCCCCTGCTGGAAAGATGAGGCTGATGGAGACAGCAGAGCAGGGACTGAACAGGACACAGGGGAAGGTGGGGGCTCTCAGTTCCACAAGTGCCACGAGCTGCAGGTCACCCCTCTCCAGGTGCCTTGTGAGGAGGAAAGCCCAGATGAGCGACCGGAAGGGATGGCCTTGCAGGCCCATGGGAGCAGAGGGCTGGGAAAGGCCCACAGGACCCCAAGAGCAGCCGGCCAGGCAGGCCTGACCTCAGGGCAGTGTGGACGCCAAGCCTGGGCTGCGCTTGCCCCATGCAAGCTCGGCCTGGAGCCTGGTGGCCCTCAGAGGCCAGGCAGCAGTGTTGCCGGGTCTCCAGCAGACCCTGAGCCTCTGAGGAGGGGCCTTCTGCAGAGGAGGGGGCCGAGAGCGGAGGCGGGGCTGCAGAGAAAGAGCCGAAGTGCTCAGCCTGGAAAAGGTGTGTGAGCCAAGAGGGCATTTCTGTTTCAAAGCTGGTGTGGGGAGAGACTGGACGGGTCAGTCGCAGGCCCAGGTGCCTGGCTGGGGATGGTGGTGGCACTCACAAGATGCCAGGGGATCTGGGGCTCTGAGAAACCAGGGGAGGTGGGTGGGGCTGCATCCCATGTCACATGTATGTTCACACGTGTGTGTTCTATGTGCGTTTGGAAATAACGTTTTCTGTTTACAGGGTACACGTTTTAAAAAACACCTATTAAGTCCGCCCTTATGAATACGTCATTCAATATCGCACGCCAGCCCTACCTCCTGAATTTGTCAAAACTAAGAGTGATGTGTGGAATTTCCCCACTACAAATTTTTTGGCAATGCCTGCTTTTATTTCTGAGGGGCTTTAGTTTCTGGCTTTCTATGACATGCTCTTCAGAATTGGAAGTGTCTCAGCCGCTCTGTCCAGCTTGTCCTGGTCTGGGGCCTTGGGCCCTGTTAAAGGCTGTTGTCTTGAATCCTCCACCACCCCCACCTCCCCTGGCCTTGGCCTCTGCACTTTTGCTTCTCATGTTTTCAGCCATGGTTTCATCAGCTTGGCTTTGGTCTCCATCCCACCGTAGAGTCTTTACCTTTTCCAGGGGAATTTATCCCACTTAGCAGTTTTGTGATCATTTATGTGCTGTTTTTCTTTGGTCACTGATAGGATTCTGGCTGCTTTTCCTGCTTCCTCATGACTTCCGTGCTGTCCTTCCTTGTGGGGTTCCTCGCTCCCCCCTGCCCTGTGGTGTCTGCATCCTGGCGCCATCCCTTTTCCCCCATCCTGGTGACCTCTTAGACATAGCGGAAGTGTTATGACAGGCTTGGAGCGTTTCCTTCTGATTTTCGATGTTAAGTGGGAAGTCAAATGTGTCACATCAGGCTGTGCTCAGGGACCTCTGATGCCTGGGACAGGCCCCCTTCTTGCATCCCTTGTCCCCCCCTTACCCCAGCTGCAGGGCTTCTGCCCCTGTGCCCTGGGGACTCTAGAGAGCTCTGCTCTAGGATCTCGGCGTCCTCCAGACCTGCCCGCCCCCATCTTCCTCCGTGAGGAGGCTGCAGATCCCAAGGGCTTTACACTCACAGCAGCAGCCCCCACTTGGTGTATTAGTTTTCAGTCACTACACAGCAAATTACCAGAGACTGACGAGCTCCCAGGAGTCCCATGCAGCCTGGGTGGGTTCACTCCGCAGAGTCTCACATTCTCAGGTGGGCTGGGCCACATCCTCACCCAAAGACCTGGGAAGCATCCCCTTGCAGCCTCATTCAGGGCATTGTCAGGACTCAGTTCTCTGCAGTTGTGGGACCCAGGTCCCGTTTCCTGCCTGTTGGCTGAGGACAGAGTGGCTTCTAGAGTCACCTCCCAGATCCTGGCTTGGGCCTCTTCATAGGCTCTCATAACACTGCAGCAGCAGCAGGACTCTCATGCGAGTACTGGGGACGCTCAGACCTCACGGCTGCTCCTCTGCCACCAGCCTGTGGGGCTCCTGGGATTCAATCAGACCCACGGCATAACCTCCTCTCGGGTTAACTCGGAGCCAACTGCTTAGGAGGCTTAATTATATCTGCAAATCCCTCTGCCACAGAGTCTAACATAAGCACAGGCTAACATCAGGGGCCAGAGGTCACGGGCCGTCTCAGCACTCTGCCTGCCACACGTGGTCTCAGCAGTTTGTTGAACGTGTCAGCAGAATTCTCCATGCACGCAGATGACGCGAGTGTGTCAGGCTCACATCCCATCTCTCTGGGAGGGACCTGCAATTTCAGGAGATTTCGGACCTCTGTCTCAGATGCCTGCAAGAAACATGGGGAGATTGTAGGTTATTTGAATTGCTTCTTCCAGAGTGGAAGCCAGAAGGCCCATTTATCTGTGAAATTCAAAATGTTACCGAAACATTGATTTGAGTTGTTCCCTCTGTTGTTTTTGCCCGTGCAAAATGTGAGCCCTCTCCGTGTGCAGAATCAAATCTATCTGCAGTTTATACAAGTTCTTTGCACTTAAAGAACACCTCTTCCCCTCCCACCTCTTCCCCATTCTTTTGTCCTGAAATGCACACACCCCGGCTGCTCTCCAGCCCCATCCTGGCTGATGTTGAATTTCACCTGCTCATCACCAGCTCCCCCATAGTCCTGGGAGAATTTCGGGTCTTCACCCTGCGTGGTGATCTGCCCGTCTGCTGTGTCTAGTCCGCTCCCTGCCTCCATGCCAGCCGGCTGTGCAGGTGCTGATATTTCTATCTCAATGGTTTGCTCTCGGGCTCCTGCCCTGGCCTCACCTTCTTGAGGATATGAGGTAACGTTTTCTGACACACAGTCCCATTTCTTGTAATACCTCTATTCCCTTTTTAGTTTGAGACCCTGAGATCTGACTCTTTGGATTGCCTTTGTCTCTCAAACCACAGTTGATTGCTACTTAGGTCGTGAGTTTTGCCTCTGCACGTCTTGAAGGAGGGGATCTGGTCTTGTTCAAAGTTGGGAGTAGAGGGGAGCCCATTGGGGACTTCATGGTCCCTGTTTAGATGTTTCGCACCCAAATGAAAGGCAGAGAGAAAGGTTCCAAGGGGGAGCCGTGGGGAGCCGTGGGGACCGATGAGGGAGCCAAGGGGGTGCCGTGGGAAGCCGTGGGGAAGCTGGCATCGGAGCCAGTACTGAGCCCTCCCCAGAAGTTTTCTGTTCCAGGAATGGGGAGGATGAGGGCCCTGTTCTCAGGGGCACAGCTGAGGTGGAGTCCCCCGCCTCTGCCTCCCTGGCATTGCCTACCAAGAGATTGGGGGCCTTCCTATCCCCCACCCGCCATGACCCTCCTTCCTGTCCACATCCCTGAGCCCCCTCCAGCCCTGGCCTTCGGAACAGGGTCCCTGGGGCACTGGGAGGTTTCCACTTGGGGTCTCCACATGTGGGTGCCACAGGCTTTTCTGGACGTTGTTCAGATCTTCTCTACATGTGTTAATTTTTTCGCTTGATCAGAATTTACTCCATTTTTCAGTGAAGTGCATGTGCTAAAATCTATCAGTGTTATCTCAGATCTTTCTAGGAATTCTGGCAATTACCATTTCTCCTATTTGGGGGCAAGTGGTTCCGTCTGCCCTCCATCTTGCAGGAACCCTCAAAGTCCTGGTCTCTGAGGAAAGTTTTCCCTATTTTTGTAACCTGTTGGCCATTTCGGTGAGTGCCTGGGAGGAGGATTCAGACACGCCTAAATCTCCGGAGGTCACAGGCACTTTTGACTAACAGCAAAGCCAGGCAGAAGTTTCCAGATGGCCAGGGTGCTCAGGACATGTGGCCACACTGCCCGCTGCCCTCACCGTGTCCAGGTCGGGCTGCCAGGCCGCCCGCGTTGGCTAGAGCAAGGGCTGCATTTTACACAACGTCTTTCACTCACGGACTGGTTTTTTTCCCCCGTTTCACATAAGCCAATGTGTTTGTCAAGAGAAAGTTAATTAAAAACATATTTTTCTAATTAAATGGTAGGCTGTGCTATGCAAACAGTAAGATTCTTGTTTGAGAGCAAATCCCTCCCCGTTTCCAGGGCTACCCTGGGGATTCAGTAGGTCAACGATGCAGAACCGAGCCCATGGTGTTAGGACACGCGCGGAGCGCAGCACCCGGGGGGCCTCAGAGCCAGCGGGAGGCGCGGGCGGAGGGCCTGGCACCCGCCCAGCATCACCCACACATGCCCACTGGGAGAGGCTGCCCCACATCGTCCTCGGATCAGAGCCAGGTCACAGCTTGCATGGCTCAGAGGGGCTCTCAGCCTCCTCCTAGCACCCAAACTTGCCACATCCAACCCCACCAGCTCCTCGCGTCCCCCAGGGCCAGCCCTGTCGCACGCCCTCCCCTCTTTTCCTGAGAACTCTCCGCCAGGGCCCAAACTGAGCTTCAGTCCAGGTTCTAGAAGCAACGTCAGGGAGCCATTCGGCCTCCTGGGCTGGCGGAGCAGGGCAGCTCCAGCTGCGCCCGGGTCGTCAGGGCCCACGCTGTGGTTGGAGTCGATTCCTAATGTTTTGTCAAGAATGGCCACATCTGTATTCTTTTAGGGTGCCATATTTATCAGATTTTTTTGTGTGTTAAGATTATTTTATCTTCGTAAAATGAACTGGTGAGCTTTCCATCCTTTCCTATCACCTGGAATAATCTAAATAGCCCAAGAGTTAAAGCTTTCTGGAAAAGTTACTTGCCCGCACACATGCTGTGCCTCCTGTCCTCTTAAATAAGACGTTTTAATTTCCTCCCCACTGTCTTTCTGTAGCTGGTCTGTTCTAGTTTCCATCTCTTCGTGGGTCCGTTTCGTCATTTGGAAGTCATTGCCTTATATTTTTAAACGCATTGCTGGGGATGGGCATGTATTTGTTCAACATTTTATTTACACGTGGAGTTATACCTGTAGCTGTATCTTATTTATAAATGTAGCTGTATCTGTTTCTGTCCTTGATGTTGGAGATTTTTATTTGATTCTCTTTATCTAACTTGCCAAAAATACATCTGTTTTATTGGTCTTTTCAAAGAATCAACGTTTCTCTCTTCTCTCATTTTTGTCTAGTTTCTGCATTTCGCCTTTTGTCTCTATTAATATAGCCTCTTTTTTTGTTGTAAGTTTTCTGATTTCTTAAATTGAACAAATCATGTATTTCTGTCTGGGCTTCTCTTTCAACGGTAAGAGCATTCGATATTATCACATTTTCTCAGTTGGGCGAATAGTGTCGCACTGTCCCATGGGTTTTTGATATGAATTATTTTCCTTTTTATCAATTTTCTAGGAGTTTCAGTTTTTGTTTTTTCTTTAATTCAAGGGTCATTTAAAAGAATAATTACACATTTTTCCTTCTTTTTCTCACTACCGCTAGTCCTAGGCGAGAGGGTGGGGCTCTGGGGCAGTTACGAGCTTTTGATCAGCTTCTGGATGGATCCATGTTTATGTTGCTAGTCTGTCCGCCGCTTGCTGGTTGTCTGTTGTTTCTGTCTTGGTTTGGTTTTGTCTATTTGTTTGTGGTGTGTTTGGAGGGAAACTGAACACACTGATTGCAAAGTTTACAGGGAAGAGTAGGGGTTTGAGATTTTCCAAGGAAATTTTGAGAAAGAATGGTAAAACGGATTATAACGCTAGAATGGTCAAAGCAGGAGGGGTTGGCCTAAGGGCAGACAAACAGGCAAGCAGGACAGGGCTGAGTCCAGAGGTGTCCGGCCACCACTAACTGGCACCAGACTCCGGCCTCGTGTGTGGGCCCGTGAGTCCCACCGTGTAAAGTGAGGGCCTCAGCCTTCCCAGTCTAGTTGTCCTCGGACTGGCCGGAGGCTCCCAGAGAGCAGGACCAGTGGGCCCGGAACTGCTGCCCCAGGCCTCGCCCACACGGGGGGCCCAGGGGATGCTTGCCAGTGGACGAGTGAATCGATCCATTGTGACCTAGTGGATAAAAGGCATCAGGCTGAGGATGTGAACTCCAGGGGCCCAGAGGATGGGTTTGGGGGTGGGGGAGGTTGTGGCATGCTCTGCTCTTGACGGAGCAACAGGCGGGGTGTTAGTGCTTGAGATATTTTCCACCCTCCATTCGCAAGACCTTCGTTTTACAGCAGCCCCCATACGGGTGGGGCGTCCTCACAGCTGTCCTCCCAACCTTCTCTTGGTCCCAACAAGAACCCTGTGAGATTGCATCACACCTATGTCACAGATAGGGAAACTGAGGCCAGGGGCCTGGTCCAAGGGCACACGCTGAGCCCTGCATCCTTGCCCCAAGCCAGGCTCTTCCCTGTTCCGCCTCGCACCGTGGAACAGCAGGAGCTAACGCTCCAGCTGGGTCAGAAGGGCTGGGGTTCGCACTTCCTGCAGCTACGTGAACCCTCAAACCGAGCCTGGGTTTGTGATGCTTGCTCAGCCATCCCACATCTCCTACAGCATCGGGGCTTAGAACCAAAGCGACACAAGAAGTGACATAACTCAGCAGGGCACAAGGCAATACTCAATAAGGGCGCACCATCCAATTATTACCATTAATTTGAATTCCATAAAATGTGAGTCATTACGAGAGGAGCGTAACGCTTCACATAAGTGGTCTGGGGCCTCTTTAAAATACCATGAAATGTTTAAGCCATATTTGAAGGAAACAAGTATGCTTTTCTCTGCTTTTCTACTAGAAAATGTGTTACAAACTGAAAATGGTAATTCTCAAAGTTGCAAGAAAGGGTGAAACGTCACAGTTTTCGATACCATCTGAAGCATCGCCTTCCTCCCTTTCCTTTTTTAAAGCACTGAAGTGTCAGGCAAAAGAACTCTGTACAGGGTCACCCTGCCCGTCTCCCCCTCAGCAGCCTCGGACGGTGGACGCCCGGCCACTCCCCCACTCTGAGTCAGTCCTCCTGTGCGAGCAGAGCAAAATCTGCTCAGCTTTGGTGAAAACTGGGTGAGAGGACGGATGTGAAGGACCCCAGGCACGACACCCGGGACACGGCTGCTCTGGTCATTGTGAATGACACGTTTGCCAGCTGAGATGGGGGCGCTTGAGGGCTTGAGGGCTGGACCCTGCGTGGGTCTTCAGGGGCCGCGACACCTTCGGTGCTCCCTCCCTGGCTCTGTGCCCACTCTCCCTCTCCCTCCCTCTTCCTGGCCCTGTCTCCCCTCCCCCAGCCAGGCTTCTGGAAGGGCTGCCCCTCCTCTCTCTTCCCCTGGCTCTCAGACCCCTACACACACACACACACACCCACTCACCCACCCCCAAACACACACACATACACATGGGTGCACTCGGCGCAAAGGTCACCGGCAACGTTTGGTCCCATCTAAAGGGTCCTTTTTGGGTCTGTGTCTACCTGATCCCTTGGGGCATCCCACACAGGAAATTGTCCTCTCTCTCCCTCCCGATTTCTCCCAGCCCTCTGGTCCTCCCTGGGCTGGGTCTCCGATTCTTATGGCTCTAACATCCTCCTGGCCCAGGGCCCCTTCTGGCCGCTTTTCACCAGGGCAGCCCTCCCCTCCCCTGGCCCTCACTGCCTTGGGCCTCCAGAGTCACCTGGTTCTGTGACACTGTCCCCGCATCCACTGACTCCTGGGTGGCCCCTCAAGACTGAACTCTGAACCTTCACCCTTAAACGTGTGCCCACCTTCTCATCTTAGTAAGTGGGGCTGGGACCATCCAGCCGTCCAAGCCTGGGGGGTCCCTAGGACACCACCTGCTCCTCACCCCACTCGGCCCCCCCAGGCTGTCTCTAAATCCCACGTCCCGTTCTTCCACTTCTTGCCCCCTTGAGTCCAAGCCACCACAGGCACGAGTGTGGACAATGGCTGGGGCCCCCAGCTCGTCTCCCCTCGGCCCCTGCCCTCCCCTCCCACTCAGCCGTCCACAGCGCAAGTGCGTGCGGCTCCTGACAGTTCAGAGCCCACCATATCTGAAGGCACTGGGCATTTCTCCCACCACACACTTGGGAAGACTCGAAAGCTGCAGGCTCGCCCAGCCTTAGGAAGCCGCGTTGCATTGTAGGCGGGACTGCAAGTTGTGTGGCTCGTTTGTGCGCTCATGAGAGTTCTCCACTGTGTGCTGGCTCTGGGGCCAGGGGATACAGCAGGCATCCTCCTTGTGAGGACCCAGAGGGGTGACAGGAGTGGGGCTGCGGCGCAGCAGGGGAAGGAGGCCGACAGACAGCGAGCCAGGCTGCGAGGCTGAGGACGGCGGGCAGCAAGGGTGGAGGCCCTGGGACGGGAGAGCACGTGGCCTTTGTTGGAGAGTGAGCACGGCAGGTAGGTTTGAAGAGGAGGCCAAGTCACCTGCTTAGTTTTCATTCCTGGGGGCAGTGGAAATGGCGGGACTCAACATACAGTTAGGCCACCTTGTGCGGAGCGTGCCTGGAACAGACGGAGGTGCCCAAGCGAATGAGGACGTTTGTAGGCTGAAGGCAGAGGGGCTGAGAAGACAGCATGTGAGGGGGAGTGGGGGGGGGGGAAGGGGCCATAGGCCATCCCAGATGCCTGGGCTCCAAGGTTCCCAGGGTCATTTTGGGGTCGGTGTGGCCAGGTGCCTGTGGGGCAGGAAGAGGAGTGCCCCGGGGACGGGTGCAGCAGGGCCCACAGCAGCGTCAGAGGCACGCGGTGGAATGCAGACGCCAAGGCTGGCGGGTGGGGGGCACAAGGGCTGGGCCCAACAGGCTCCATGTGCTTGGGAGGACTACCGTGGTTTTCATTCCAAGGGCTGGAAGCAGGGGAGGGACGCCAGATGTGTCTTCTGAGGCCACTCTGGCCACAGCAGAGACCCTCCAAGAGGAGGCCTTGCCCATGCTGGGCCAGCAAGGCCTGCTTTCCAGAACTGTCCCCGCCCCACCCCCGCCCCAGTGGTTACATCACTTACTGCCCAATCAGTGGGGTGATACTTGACCTGTTCCTGCTTCTTTGCACCCCAGCTCCCTGCAGCGTGGTCTAGGCAGACGCCCTGTGCCACTCCCTTCCCTGGAGCACACTCCCAACCCGTGTTTCCAGGAGGGCCTGTGTCTCCCTCCCCCAGGAGCGGCTGGACGAGCTGCACCACGCCCTGGATGAGAGCAGGAGGCACAGCCAGGGCCTGGCCCAGAGAGGGAGGCTGCTGAAGGAGCAGGCCGCTGGCCTGGAGCAAAGGTGCCAGGAGGCCGAGGGCGTGCAGGAGCCCCTGCAGCAGGTGAGGGGCCCCCAGAGGGCAGGGCCCTGTGTTCCCTCCACAGAGTCAGTCCCTTGGCATGAAGGGAGGTCCGGGGAGACGCTGGAGGCAGGTGTGCAGACCTGGGGCAACACAGACACCATCCAATCCTCGCTGATAGAAGGGAAACTGAGGCAGGAGGAGCCCCAGGGCTCTCCCCGATTTCCTGCCCCGCAGTAAGCACCCCTAGGACAGAGGGTCAACTGTTGGGCACAGCTCAGGGGAAAAAAAGCGGCTGATCCCGGGGCGCAGCCTCAGGCGGGAGCCGCGCTGCGCACCCAGAGGGCCCGCCTGCAGGGGGTGCTCGCAGCGCCGCACGTGTTGGGCACAGGTACCGGCTCTGGCCCGGCCCTGTGGCTCCAGTGGGTGGTCTCTGGTCCCTGGAGGGGGCGGGGGAGGGGAGAGGGTGGTCTCTTGAGAGCTGGGGGGTGGGGAAAAGGGGAGTACCCTGTGGGGCTCCAGACATAGGCTGGCTGGGGGAGGTGCTGGTTAGGTGGGCTTCTGTCCGCACCTGCTAATGGAGAGAGCGCCTGCTCTGCACCACCCGGCTCCAAACTCAGGCGCAGTGTGGCCCTGGCAGGTCACCTGTGGACCTCCACACCTGGGGTGGTGTTGCCCCGCCCTCTACCTTTACTGTCCTTGGGGAGGGGCCATGGGTTTTGGCAAATCCCTCGGCTTTGTCCCCAGTGTTGGAGCACAGTCCTGCGGGAGCGGTGTGGCCTTGGCACATGGCCTACCTCTGGAGCCCCACATTCCCCTATCCACGGAGGGCATACAACAGGAGGGCAGGAAAAGAGCATGTGGTCGAGGGGTGAAGTCCAGTCTTGTCACCTCAGCAGACCAACCCCGGAGGGGTGCAAGACAGGGTCCTAACCAAAGAGTTCAGACAAAGGCGGACAATTACACCAGGGCCGGGACTGCGCTTCGGGCCAGAGGAGGGCAGAAAGAACGAGAAAGCCAGGGAGGCTGAGGGCCAGAGCCCGCTGGCCGGTGATTTGGACAGCGAACTGTCCTCAGGCGGGAGTGACTTGGTCTCCATGTCTGAAATAGGTCAGGGGAGCTATTTGGGTTCAAACTGGCGATGAGGGTCCCCAGAGCATCTTCCTGGGGCCCAAGTGGACTGATTGGGGAAACAGGCCAAGAGAAAGGAAACAGCATTCCTGGAATAGGCAGAACGTCGGGCGGGCCCCAACCCCAGTTACGGCTCTGCAGGCCCCCCTGCAGGTGTCTGCTGTGTACAGGAGCCCCGCCCACCCCTCCTGAGAGGCAGCTCCTGGGTGCTGAATGTGCTGCCTCAGCCCCGCAGGGACAGGGCAGGGCTGCGAGGCACAGTCCACCCAGCTGACCCCAGCGGAGTGGGCCCACCAGGCTATGGGCCCTGGGGTTCTGACGCCCTCACAGCCCCCTGAAGGGTGGGCAGGATGGGGGCTCTAGAGGAGGGAAGATGGACAAATCAGGCAGTAGGGGAGGGTGGGGACAGGCTTTGCTGGGCTGGTGATCTGGCATCCAAGGCACTTGATACTTCGGGCTCAGTGTCCCCACCTACAGAGTGGGGAAGGCAGGAGTCCTGGCATCGGGGGTCCTGAGGGCCTCAGGCGTGGACCCCAGAGCAGGGTGGCCTTCCCAAGGCCTCACTGGGGCGGAGATATGGGTGTGTCCTGCTATCCTGGCGGCCTGGCAGGCCATGGCCGAGGGCGTTTATGAGCACACCTGGGCGGCGTCTGGACAGAGGGTCTCGCTGCCTGTCCCTCGTGAAGGGATCTGGAGCGGTGCTCGGGCACAGACAGAGGAGGGGCACAGGGACACAGACCTGCCAGCCCGACACAGTCATCAGGATAAAGCTGCTGCCGCCCTGCCCCCTGCAGCGCTGGCCCTGGGCGGAGGTGTGGGAGGGGTATGCCGACCTGGGCTCAAAGGGAACCAGGCATTGGTCACTCGTGGCTGTCCCAGGCAGCAGTGTCCAGCCAAGGCCTCTCAGAGGGAGAGGAAGCGCCTGTGTTAGATGACACAGCCCCACGGACTGCAGGGACCGCCTCAGGTCCAATGGATCGTCCCCTGCTCTCTGAGACCTGCAGAGACTGGCTTTGCACTGGGGCAGGGGACTGAGTGTGGCCCAAGGGCACCATGGAGGCTAGGCTCAGCCTCAACAACCCCGAGTCGTGGCTGGTGGAATGAGTGACAAGATGACAGTGTCCAGGGGTCTCAGATTGTGAAGGACAAAGATGTCAGCAGGACATGTGGACAGCAACAAGAGGTGAAAAGTTCAGCTCAGGGCCGGAGAAAAAGAACAGACCGCCGATCACAGTTGGGGCAGGAAAGAGGGTGTTTATTGTGTCAGGAACAAGATTCAGACTAGGAAGGCCAGGTACCCAGGGGTGGTGGCTATGTGTGGTGGTCTCCTCACGCCCAC